TGCTGGTAAATGTTTAACAAGTGGCTTTCCAGAGGAAAAAAGAAAACTTCAGTACTGTATACATATCGTATTTGCCCATACCCATGGTGTCCAGTCCCACCATAGCCAATCTAAAGATACAACGTGATGTCACTAAAAGTGATGTTGGGACAAGATGCACATAATTGGGTTTCAAATCACAGTGTGAACAGGCTGCAGCATATCCCTGTTTGTGATCCTTACCACTAACTAAAATTTTCTGGTTATCATTTACTTGAATTTTATCTATCTTCCTTTATAAAAACTCAACTCTGTAAGGAAAGGCACTTCTTCCACCTTTACCACTGAAGCTCTCCCGATTCAGTGCCTGGCGTATTACAGGTACATAATAAACATTTGTTGAATAAAAGCATAATTTTTGACTCAAAATTGAATATATTAAATTTTTAAAGATGCAATAGTAATAAAAATATTTTTTAAAACCATTGAAGGTTGTAGGCTCTAAAAGTTTGGAAATACCTCCTGAGCACATGCGAGAAAGAGATGAGTCCAATATCACTTTTAAAAATCATCTTATCTTCCTTCTCTTGTATCTCTTAGGCTTTCCCAGTGGTGTAAATGTAAGGTTGGGACACATAAAGAAAAAGAAAGAAGACTGTAAGCCTTGAATTTAAATTTCATTATAAAAAGATCAATCATAACTTCCAACTGTGAAAATAGAAAAATGTTCATTTCAAAATGAAACAAAAACATCATGTTATATTCTACAAGTTAAATAGACATAAATAAAACCCCTGGTTTTGAAAGAAAGCCTTGGCACTTATTATACGTGCTATTGCCAATGCCAGAATCAGAGTAAGAGTTAATTATTATATTTAAGATCTGCATGATAAGTGGTAATATAAAATAAAGCAAATAAAACCCTACAACTTAGGAATAATTATTCAGATTTCAGATTTCCCTCTCTCAAAGTTAGAATTGAATTTTTATATTTTCATTTCTTTCTTTTTCTTTCTTTTTTTTTTTTTGAGAAAGATAAGCCCTAAGCTAACATCTGCCACCAGTCCTTCTCTTTTTGCTGAGGAAGACTGGCCCTGAGCTAACATCCGTGCCCATCTTTCTCCACTTTATATGTGGAACTCCTGCCACAGCATGGCTTGCCAAGCGGTGCCATGTCCACACCCGGGATCCGAACCAGCGGACTCTGGATCACTGAAGCAGAACGTGCGCACTTAACCGCTGTACCACCGGGCTGGCCCGTCATTTCCTCTTTAATTTTCAAACATCCAACTCTGAATTAGTAATTCTTCATTTCACTCCCCTGTTGGTAATTTTTAATGAAGATGCTACCAATTTTTTCTTAGCCAATATTGTATTTGTGCATTTTATTGTATCATGGGCACTAAGTAATTCATGAAAAAGCTCGTGACATTTCTGTTAGTTGTGTTGTCTTTCACAACCTGACTCTCAATGGCCCTCTTTGAGCTTGTTTTTCTTGAACTCCAAATTCAAATTGCTTATTTGACCCAAACACACGCCAAATCTGCTCTCCCATCCCTGGCTTTGCTCTCCTGCTCTTCTGAATGCCCTTCTCCCTATCTTCGTAAGTTTTTCTCCCTGTCTTTCGTAAGTCTGACAGTATTCTAGACACAATTCAATTGTCATATTATTCATTGTTTGCACAGTACTTAGTCACGAACTGATCTCTTTCTTGTCTGTTTATTACTTTCTCTACTGTCTCTCTCCCTTGCAGAATATAAGATAAGTGAGAACAGGGCCTTTTCTTGTTCCTTGCAATATCTCAATGCCTAGAACAACATTGCCTGGAATATGTTAAGTACATTATTTCTTGAATGAACAGGCAAATAAGTAGTTATCAAAACAAATCTAAGGAAAAATATCGTAACATTCTCTATTTATGATGATTTTTTTAAAAAGCCCACAAACAGTTATATTATTCCCAAGTATAGGTTGTCACTTCATCTTAATCCAGCGCTATTTTGACAAAGCTGCAAGAATTAAGGAAGATAATGCGATAGCTTGAATCAGTCAAAAATAATTTCCAACACCCAAGGCTGAAAGAATTCCAGTTTGAAGGTGCTATTTTCCTCATATGAAACTATGCTTATTCTACTCCATTTATAATCTAACTAAACGCATTTTCTTAGTATGCTAATGCTTTACTCAAACCTTCTCTTAATTTTTTCATATAATTCAAAAAGATTCTCTTAAGTGAAACAGACCTTACCGTAGCTTTGAATGTATTTTTTTAACAAGAGCAGATTTTGTATTTCAAAGTGAGTGCCATTTTAATGTCAACCTATATTTACATAGAATGGAACCAATATCATAGTTCCTTTCTCCTTTGACCTAAATTTCCTCCTTGCATTCCTCTCTTTGAGTGTATATCTCAAGCGTAACAAAAAAACCCAGCTAGGACGTATATAAATATATCTATAACTTTGAAATAGAGGGCTGAAATCACTACATCTTCAAGGATACAATATGAAGTGTGTTTCTTAGTGGGAAGCACATGGGCTCTTGAATGCAGGTGTGACTATTCTTAAGCAAGTTGCTTAAGCTCTCTAAGTCTCAGTTTACTTATCTATAAAATGGGATAGCAGTACCCACTTTTCTGGCCTGAAAAGAGAAGGAAAGAGAAAGCAACCTAGCACCAAGCCTGGCACATACAAAGTGCTCAATAAGTATTTACTGAATTAATGAATCCCATTGAAAATATAGGTGCCAGTGAACTAAACTACTATATGACACAATAAAAAATTGTAGTGCTTGTGTAACCAAAGAGCTAACATAAAAGTATAATCACGGGTGTTTTAACAATTCCCTGATTAATACACAATCAACAAAGCAACACACATATGAATAGATGAAGTATATTGACCTTGATAAAACACTATCGTTGTCCAGGCAATTATTCAAGAGACCTAAGTATGGTCACATCTACCGAAGCAAAAGAAGAGATTAAGGAAATTTCCTTACATCTATGCATATTTCAAAGAGAAATTCACAGATGTTCCTGGACAGTAGTTAGTTATTCATAAAAAACAAATTCTAACAGATAATGGTCTATTATTCATTTTCTACACCTGTGTAGACATAAACTAAAGGCATTGAACTTGTCACTACTAGAAATAATAACTGATGAATATATGGTGATTTGTGCTTCCTCTTACTTTCTCTTTCAATCCTTACAAAAACTCTACAGAGTCAAAACAGAGAGAATGATAGAGCAAATTTTCAATTAGGGAGCTCAAAGCATAAGTCTAGAAACATGCTATCAAATGTCTGGTGCTGGGGATACATCAGAAAACAAAAAGACAAAGAGCCTACCTTCATAGACCTCACAATCTGGGATTTGTATTGAAATAGGTACAGTTATGGTTTTTAGACTTATGAATTAAGCCGCTCAAATGCATATTCATAATAAAGTATGTTGTTAAAAGAACTCCATTAGTGGCCAGGGGATTTGTACGTCCTTTTCATCCTCAATTATTGAATGAGGTTTGACATTTTGTGCAAAACCTTGGAACATACTCTGCTGATACTGTGCACAATTCAACTTCTTTCTGCTGTTTGATTTAGGGGATGTGAATAACGTCAATCAATCAGAACTGTTGCTTCTTCCTCTTGCCCACAGCACATCCTTTCTACGGAGCTTTCTTAGACCACTTACTGCATGGAATTCTCATAGCTTCTCATTATTTGTCTCCCAACGTCGACTGAGCACTGTTGGGGGAGAGGGCTCCATCCTGTTAATCTTTGCATGGCCAACTCCTAGCACAGTGCTTGCCCTGCGGTTCAGGTGGGACTTAACATTCGTTGTTTGCATAAATTTGTAAATATGTTACCCTTTTCAAAGGACATTCATGCACATTATCTCAACAGGCCCTCAGTGGGATTGCTGGGAGGTTGCAGGGTAGAATGAGTGCCCTCATTTTACAGAATCTCAGTGAGATTGAAGGTTATTAAGTTCCTCATTTGACAAATGAGGAAATCAGGGATCAGTCAGAGAATATATGATTTCTGAAGAGCAGATAAGTAAGACTTGCATTTCAAGATCAGAGTTTTTTCCAAAACACTAAATGAAAATATAGGCACATTTACCTGGTATTTTAGGTATATCTTTCTCATATGTTAGGTGTATGGCTAGTTATCTTTGGCTTCCTCAATCATTGGTGAAACCTTGCTCTTTTCTTTTCTTTTTTTTTTTTTTTTCCAAATGTAGACCATGGAATGCAAAAGATCTTCAGAAACCATCCGTATTATAATCAGAGGAAATGACATGTGAAGGTAGTCAAAAGGTACAAACTTTCAAAAAAAAAAGATGACATAGATTATATGTAAATATTTTTCTGCAAAACAGTGCGTGACCTTAAGAATTTATTGCTAGCCTAAACAATTCTGCTCTGTCACAAGGAAGGGGATGGAGGTAGCTTTGTCTTTTCTGATCCTGAACCTACAGTCATCACTATTGTACTTACACAAGATTTCTCTAGGCTTTGTAGTCTCTTAATCAGGAAATAAGATAGTGAAAGCAGTCTGTTGGGGTGAAGAGGTCACAGCCAGTATTTGAAATTTCTAGCACTTGAATCCTCATCAACTGACTCTGAAGTCACCCTTTTAATCACATCCTCTCCCCCTAGATTATAGGCTACAGGAAGGCAGGGACTGCATTGAACCCCCAAGTCAGGCCATGGCACAAGGCACGGGACACTCCTAGCTCAATTCCTGTCATGAATTAATCATTAAGTGGCAACTCTGAGTTACCTCTGGTTATAGATCAACCTGAAAATGTGCTAGGTACATGTTTTCCAAACTTAGTGATAGAAATTTCTCTTCCTGTTTTTTACTTAACACCATTTTTCAGAAGTTTACTTTTAATATAAGTGATTTTCTAGGCAATATACTCAGCGCCTTAATGGACAACTAGTGATGGAACCCTGGCCTTGTCAGTTATCTGGTAAACTGTTATAAGTCAACATTCTAAAAATCTTTAACAGACATTAACAGCAACTATACCAAATCCCAACATTTCTGACACTAGAAGCTTTTCTCTCCAAAAGGGATGGGATTACTGGGTTGACAATATCCCTCAATCTGAAAAAATTTGTCTCTATCTTACTCCCCTATGTCCCCTTTCGACCTTCTCCCTTTCCCCAGACACACATCTACTCTGACCGTCTTGTTTGAGAGGAAAGTTGAAAGCAAGCCACACGTCAGCTACACCCTCCCAGTGCTGCTTGGGGTGGAACAGCAAAGTTCCAGGGTACAGCCTTCGTGCCTAGAGCTGGCGATGCAGCCGCTCTCAGATACCTGCTCAGCTTCACGCCGCGTCTGAAGGTCCGCCCGCCGCGGAACAGTTGCGTCTCCATCTGGCTGCCAACCCACCCAAGCTTTCTTCTCCTCCGCCACCACCACCTTCCCTCCTTCCCCCTCCTCCCCCTCCTTTCCATCTTCCCTCTCCACCCCGCCCCCAATCTCCTCCTCTTTTTCTCACTACAAGCGGTTGCTGATGCTGAAGCCGAGCGTCACTTCGGCTCCCACGGCAGACATGGCGACATTGACAGTGGTCCAGCCGCTCACTCTGGACAGAGGTAAGGGAACGGCTCGCCCGCCAGGCCACTGCGACCCCCTTCCTCCCTCTCTGCCCCTGCCGACTCCCACCGGGACAGCCGGACGCGCTCGGGCAGGGGGACCAGGGCAGCGAGGGCAAGCGAAGAAGGCTTTCGCGCCGAGAGCAGGATACTTTCTTCCCCTTTCTCTGCCCGCCACGTCCCCACTGCCCCTTCCCACTGCACTCGCCCGGCCCACGGGTGCCATCGCCGGGCTCTGGCGCCCCCACTGCCGCTCGCAGCCCCTCGCCGGGTTGCCTCCGGGCCGCCGGCTTTGTTGGAGCGGATGCGCGGGGACCGCTAGGCGCCCGGGGCTGGGGTTGGAGCGGGGCAGGAGGAAGCTCGCCGTGCCGGGCGAGGGCGCCTGCAGCCGCAGACCGGGAAGCTGGCGAGGGAGCCGCCTGCCAGCCAGCGCGGCCGCGGGGCCCAGGAGGAAGGAAGTTTGTCCCGGCGCCGGGGGGCGGTGGGCGGTCCGGCAGCGGGTGCCGGGGCAGCCTTCCCGCGGCGGGAAGGCGCACCCGCGGTGGCCTGTGCCGGGGCGCAAGGCTGCTGGGCGGCCGCGGCGGAGAGCTGCCCTTGGCCGAAAGGGCACGCGGAGCGCCGATAGCCGTGCCCGGGCCCGGGCGCAGCGTCGCGGCAGCCGAGCCGGCTCTCCCCGGCCTGGCGCCCAGAAGCGCGGGGGTCGCCCCTACCCCCGCCGCCGGCAGCCCTCTGGCAGCAGCAACTCGGCTTTCCCTGCCCGAGCCAGCCTCGTTCTCTGCCAGCCCGCTGCCACCGCCCGCCCGGGCTGCGGAAGGCGCTGGGACGCAGCGCAGGCTGGGTTGAAATTCAACTTCTGACCCGCGACCCTGGGCGTGCTGCTCTGCGCCTTGAATGGGGAAGCAGCCTTTGCTTCCTCCCCAGGACGTCCCCAAGCCTAAGGATGGAATTCTCCAGTGTGATCGGGGCCTCTCTGGGGCACTGGTGCGACGTCGTACCTGTCCCTGTGTGTCCGGGTTTCCTCCCTGGCTTCCGTTACGAAGGCGCTGGAGTCCCGCGACTCTGCCGCGGAGGACACCTGCGCGTCCCGGTGCGCAGGGGCCGGATTTAGGACCCTGGGCGGCCATTCGGCAATGGTGTGGTCAGACGAAAATGATTTAGTCCGATGTGTCTCTAAAAATATTCTTTCTACCTAATCAAACTGAACTGCGGGGCGAGGCAAAATAGCATCCTGCTGCGAGAACAGTGGAAAAGCCAGTGAACTCGGTGAGGTTTGTAATTTGGAGAGATTGTGGGTGACTTGAATGCAATCTGTTGGCGCCAGGACAGATGTTGTGTGGTGCCCGTAGCAACCTTACTTGGGGCAAGAGTTGAAAAATAAAAAATAATTGATTTTGTGCTGGGAAATGTTGATTTGCAAGCTAGTAAATTAATAACAGTAGTTAGAGAGCTCAGTAAGTCCCTTGTATAATCCGTGATTTCACCCCAATATCATCATCTGCACTAAGCAGGATAAATCCATTGCCAGTAAGAGCCAAACAGATGGCAAGCTATTAGAAATTATGGATTTCCCACGTATTTCTGCTTTAATGTAATGCGCTCTTATATTGTCCCATTACTGAATCAGTCTTTAAACATCTCAAGTAAAACGACTACTTGAGGAGGGAAAAAAAAACGAACTCGAAGAAAACTGCATACCTGAGCAATTTTATGTACCATTACGAAAAATATTTCACTTTGGGCGTTTTACCTTAGCCCTTAGATGCCTGGCTCACTTGTGGAGGGGAAGTGCAATCAGACCTAGATCTATTCTTAAAGTTTGTTCCTGTTCACAGCCGGTCTGCACCTGTCCTTCCCTGTGCGACTGGGTCCATGCAGTAAGTGGCTTACAGGACGCTGCCTAGGGGAGCCTGTGGACGTGTCCGAATCAATTCACCGGCAGCTCGCTGCAGAGTCGGTAGTTTGCGGATCATGGGTTATTGGCATCATTGCTGTGCATGAAGTCAATATATATAAATATATTTTCTCTGTCCTATTAAAATGTGATTAATTAACTGATTAATTGCATCATTAAGCCAATGAAGGAAGGGGTTCTGGAAAATTTCCTACAAAAAATGTATTTTAAAAGAGGCAGCCTGATGATACTTCTCTGGGTCTTAGTTGTAACTCTGATACTCGCTTTGGAGGGGTTGATAGCCTCTTTGGGCATCAGTTTTCCTTTGTGCCACATAAGGAATTCGGATTAGATGATTCTGATGCTGTGAAGCTTTAAATGTCTATAATTCAATTCATTAAAATTAGGACTCAGTTTCTGGATGCCTACTGGAAGATTTTCCAGAACCCTCCCTCTCCCAGGTTGTTTTGGTGCCCTTTGATGTGCTCTGAGGTTACCCAGGGCTTTGGCCCCATCCAAGCATTTCTCATACTCTGTTGCATCTGTCTCCTCATTGAATGGAGCTCCTTGAGGGAACAGAGCATTTCTAAATTCACCTTTGTCTTCTCACTGCCTCCCGTGGTCCCTGACTCACAGTAGAAGATGAAAAATTAATAAAAGTTAGTTTCAGTTAACTAAGGACTACAGTAACTTAAGCACTGTTAAAATACAGGGATAGAGTAGTGAACAGAGGTACAGTTCATGGATTCACCACATTTTGATCCTGGGAAGGAGGGCAGGGAGAACGTAGCCAGTGGGTCTTAACCTTTCTTTTCCCCTGTATGCTTGGTGAATTCCCATCAGTAACCATAGCTCACCAAGGCTGTGATTATTAACCAAGGGGGATTGTGGCCAGTGGGCCAAGGGGAGGAAGGAAAGAAGATGCTCTACAAAGGCTCCCGAGGGCATCTCAGTGAACCTGAGTACATAATCCACGATTTGAGAGCTGCTGGTTCTTTTCTAGCATCTTCACTTTTCAAATGAAAAATGTGAAAGAAGCGATGATAAGAGATATTTCAAGGTTACCCTACTAGTTGGTAGGAGATTTTATTCCAAAATCTGATTTTTCTTGTTTGATGCCCTTTGGCACCATAAACTGATTCGTCTTGAATCTTCAGGATAAATGTTTTACGCAAACAAGTCAAAGCTATGGATTGAAATGAAGAGATACTCTTCCCAGAGTTCAAAAGATATTATCTGAAAGTAAGAAGCTCCGAAGCCTGCACTAGCTTCTCGGATCTTGTCTGGGAAGCAAGCTTTTTCCAGGACCAGGCTGAGCCCTACAAGGATGAACTTAGTGACTTAAGGTTTTCTCTGCTCTGTGTTCATCCTAAATTCTTTTCTACCTGCCATTAAGATCTCAGATTAACCCTGTTGAGGTCTCTGGGTGGCTATGTTCAGAGTAGGTTCATGTTTGCCCTGGTCCCAGTCCTCGAGTGCCTACTGTAAGCCAGACTACTGTGGGATTGGTATACAGTGGTGAACTAAACAAGCATAATTCTGGTCTTCATGGTAATTAGAACCTTCTGGGAGAGAGAGATTAAACACACACACATGCAAACAATTCATTCATTCAATAAATATTCATTTATCAAATACACACTATATGTGGATATACACATTCATGTATACAAGATACTATAGGAATACCAGAAGCAAAGTTTCTACTTTTATGATCCTTGAAATTCTAGAGGGGAAACAGATAATAAGAGATTAATTAATTGGCTCAACAAATAAGGATTGAGTGCCAGCCTTATGGAAAGCACTGTTTTCAGCAATGTCGTACTGCTAATGAACAAAATAGATAAAGTCTAGTGGAGTTTACATGCTAATGAGAGAGTCACACACTGAACACATCTGCATACAACTATCAGTGCTGGTAAGAAAAAGTAACACTGGCTCAAGGAGGGTGCTGGGGGCTGCTGTTTCGATATGATGATCAAGGAAGGTCTTCCCTCCTGAACTGATGATGTTAGAGAAGAGACCTGGAGAAACTAAGGAAGCAAACTTTGTAGATACCTGGGGGAATGTGCTCAGGAGAGGGACCTCACATGTGCATCCTGGGACCATCAAGGAAGTCAGCGTGAAAATGTGAGCACAGTGGAGACTGGTGGAAAATGGAGTGTGTGAAGTTGGTAGCCAGGGGCAGATGATGTAAATTATAATTAGGGTTTTAGATTAGTTGAAGGTGTGAAGTGCTCTGAAGACAATAAACAGGACATGAGGATAGGGAATAATGGAGAAGGACCAATTTAGATAGTGGGGTCAAAGAAGGCTCAATGAGAAAGCAAAATTTAAACTGAGTTCTGATGTATTAATAAGATCCTTAGGAAAAGCATTCTGGATAAAGGGAAGAATGCAAAGAAAAGCAGTTCCACATGTTCAACTTGGCTACTATTCTGTCAATACATCTTTAACCAAGCAAATGATTAAAAAGAAAAATTACCAAGAAATAGTAACATTCCAAGTATGCATTTTGGGGTAGAAATTTGGTTATAAGTATACCAAGAAAATCTGTAGATCAGCTTTTTGCTTCTTATTGCTAGGCTAAAACATCATATAATTAGATCTTCAAAGATATACTGAACACTGCAATTTACATGTCACTGTGCATAAATCTACATGTTGAACTCAAGTGGTCATAATATGACATATATTCATTTTCAGTCTAATATTTTATATTAGACACTGATGTAAAAAGTAGTACCTGTAATTTACCCTGTGGCAAAGAGAAGATGCAGATAAAGAGATTAGTGTAGAATCTTCTCTTCCAGAATTTAAAATATTCACAGCAATTCTTCCCTACACTAGAGCTTAGTTTGCCCAGATTTTAATCTCTAAAGCCAGGAGTGACCTTCAGCTAAACACAAGAGAACAAAGCAGGGTGCAGTCCATGACACTTAACACCTTCATCACAAAGAACCAGGAACACTTTCCTGTAGTAAGGACTTCCTGGACTGAGGCACTTTCCCAGGTAAAGTAGCGCCAACACTCCTTCACTTTCTATCTCAAGGTCAGAGAAGATTATACAACAGAACTCTTCAAAATTTCACTTCTGCTTACTTTTCCCCCTAATTTTAAGCAGACTGGCTTTTTGAAAACTCATGGCTAATAAAGAAATAATACAAAATCAACTCTTGAATAAAAATGGATAATTAAAATAATTTCTAGGAGTAATTAAAACTGTGATTTTAAATATTTGAGATGTTTAATGTTTTAAATATTTAAATATTCGCTTCTGACATGATCAATAGCTTACAAGCTTCGTTTAGGTGCCTATGTAAAATAAAATGTTGGTATCACAGTGATCTAACTTTTCTGTGAGTTAAATTCAACATGGGCAAGCTGCAAAAATGTAAATGGAAATCTTGATTTCTTCGCTTCTAAAATAAGCCATAATTTAAAATATTTATTAAACAAATCTTGATATTTTTTCCCTTTCAAAAACAAATTTTTTGTCCTTTAAAAATTCAAATATAAGGGGCTGGCCCCGTGGCCGAGTGATTAAGTTTGCGCGCTCTGCTGCAGGTGGCCCAGTGTTTCGTTGGTTCGAATCCTGGGCGCGGACGTGGCACTGCTCATCAAACCACACTGAGGCGGCGTCTCACATGCCACAACTAGAAGGACCCACAACGAAGAATATACAACTATGTACTGGGGGGCTTTGGGGAGAAAAAGGAAAAAAATAAAATCTTTAAAAAAAAATTCGAATATAAAACCAAGAGCCTTTATTTTTGCGGATTTCAACCTTGTGGGGAAAAAAACCACGAGAGCAAAAACTGAATGCAAATGAAAATCCCACGGGTACCACACTTTTCATAGAATTTATGATACATTAACATTTTCTCTCTTCTCTTTTCACTTTTCAAGGCATGAAGAGCTCATCTCACAATTCAAGCCTTGGGCATCCTATAGCTTTTCTAATCAGCTGTATTCACCAGTTTGTATAAAATCTGTATTTTCCTGAGAATTGCTTTTGCTCACAGACCAAAGGGCTTGCGCCTTATCTCTCTCCTTATTATTTATTTTTAACATGAGGAGAGATTAAGGAAGAAGGAAAATAAAAATTAATCTAGTTCTTATATTGTTTCAAAGATGTATGCCCTGGTGGTTGTGATGGGGCAGGAAAGAGAGAGGGGCTGGCTATATCTTAGTCTCTTGTCCTAAAGCAGCCAGATAAGTTTTAGTCTATAAACATTAAGTGCTGGCTTGCTGTCTCCTATTTTCTGTAGGCTTCACTAAACATCAAAAGAAAATTTTATGGAATTTTTTTTGTGAATCAGTATTTGAGTGTTTCTTTTTGCACTATATAGTTAGACAACATTTTCTGGGAGTCAGAACTGTGCCACATCCACCTTTTTTTCCTTTGATAATAAAATGTTACAAAGAGAAGGACTCAAATTTCTGAAGAGTTTTGATTAAAAAAATGATATTTTGCATTTAATAAGAATCTTAAACACAGTTTTGAAATTGAAAAGGAATTGAGAAATTAATGATAGAGCTTCCAGAAAAAGCAAAATGTATTTGGTGAACGTCTTCTAGTTTGGTGTGTCAGCTGTGCAAGCCCTGAGGTGTGTTTGGTGTACCCTGGTCGTTTATGAAATGAGTGCCTTTGCTTTCGGAGTGCTTTTTCAGGAATCACAATTAGGGCTTAGCTGTTTAGTGGGGAAAAGGAAACATTTAGAGAGTAGTAGCAAATTGAAAGGTGAATCCTGGGTATTAGGGATGCTATTATAGGCACAAAGCCAATACCTCCCGGAGAGAGTACTTTTCTTAGTCTTGACATCTGTCTATTAGGATATAGTCTTCATCAGGTCAGAGACTGTTAATGTTTATGCAGAGCCCAACAGATTTTATGACACATGGTACACTCAATATTTGTTGATTGATCAGTGGAATGAATAAACGAATGAGTGAATGAATGAAATTGACTTAGCTGGACTAGCTATCTTGGAGTCATTCTTAATGCTAAAAAAATAAAATAAAAAAGCCTTCCAACCCATACTCATGTAAAAGTGGTGGCTACCTTACTTTATCACTTTGCTTCTGTGTGTCTATGTAGCAGACTCCTAAAAGTGGAACACTCTCCAGGGCCAAGAAAGGATGTGAGGTGCTGGTGCTGATATTCACAGCGCTGCTGCCATGGCTGGCATCCACCTGTTCTCCTCACTTGTTAACTGAACCAGGCAATATAATGCCAGAATACAACTGAAAAGGTGAAAAAACAGTAGGGAGAAGAGGCCCTAGCAGAATTTCCTGCATACACACACACATACACACACACACACACACACACACCCCCACACATAAGCCACATTGCCTCATCTTTTTTTTTTTAACCACAAACTGATGAATGGTAGAGCTATGTCCTGATAAGCAAGTTAAAATGGATTTAAGTTGAAATCACTCTGTGTTGGCAAATGTGAACATAACCTTAAAAAGTCATGTTGATTACATCAGTGCTTTACTTCCAGTCTAGGAGATAGAGAAGATTTTTATGATTGAGTTTTACTAATTAACGTGCTGGCTGAATTGGAAAACTTACCTAATAAAAGTAAATATGCCCAAAGACTACTTGAAGAAGATTTTGTTGAATTGAAACTTACACTGAAGTTATACTCAGGTAGTTATCTGTCTTGGACAGAAAACTAGGGTTTCTAATTTAAACTGGTGGTAATTTCCCCTAGAAATACTGTAGCTATTTCAAGTCCAATTGGTTCTGCCGCTTTTGTTTACCTGTCCAGTGTGGTGTTAGTTATGATATTTCAGTACGAAATCTGTTTTTTTAATATCAAAATATTATCTGTAACCAAAAAATGGATAGAATAATGAGAATCAAAGAAGGCAATAAGATTTAAACCCCAAGTTAAATGTGGGGTTGTGGGGGGAGCCCAAAACATCAAGTCCCAGCTGAGTCTATTTAACAGTAACGAGATAATTGGGGAAAATAGCTTAGAGACTGCTGAAGGTGACTTTTGAGGAAAATTGGAGAAGAGTAGTAATTGCTGATGGACAAATAGCCTGGCTTCCAAAAAGGTGAGCGAGGTCTTTTAGAAAACTATAGTTCAATCTACTTGTTCTTGCCTCCCAGCGGAAAAATCTAAGGCATATTAAAAGAAGAATGAGATATGTGCACTTAGAGAAGGAAGTGGTGATCCCACATTGCCTACATGGGGTCACTAAAAGTAGATCTTGTCAAGTTTCAGGTGGGTGCCATAGCCGCTCTGTGCTCAGGATGTCACAGCGCTCATGGAAGCCTTATGGGAAATGTGGAGGTGTGGGAAGCAGACGATGGCGCTCCAGGATTTCTGGTGTTGAAACACTGCTCCGGGGCAGTTTGGTTCTCTGTCCTATTCAACTTTGTTACTAGTATTTTGGATGAGGGTCATAGAAAGTTTTTACAGGTCACATAGAACTGGGAGGAATAGCAAATGTTTTGGCCAGGCATATCAATATTCTAAAATTATGCCTAGCTTGAATGGCAAGTTGCAGTAAAAGAGATCAAATTTAATGGAAATAAATATAGTCTTCATTCATTCATCCACCAGGAACAGGGAGCCAGCCCTGGTCATTCACTGCCCTTGGTTGTACTGTCCAGTGAACTCGCTCCACTGGACTCCACCCCACCATCTTGAATCTCTCAGGCAGGCCCTGTACCTTGATCAAGCCATTGTGATTCAGTTGTGGGCTGGGGCCAGGGCAGTTTAGCATGGCACTTAAAACATGCCCTCCAAGGCCAGCCGACTCTGGTTTGAATCCCTGCTTTTCCGCTTACTAGGTCTGCAACTTCTAGTGTTTCTAGACTGTTTTGAATCTCAGTCTTATCTGTGAAATGGCAAGTGATAAAAATAGCACTGACCTCATAGAATGTTGGCTTTAAATGAGTTATTATATGTAAAGTACTTAGAACAGTCCTGATAGATAGTAACCACTCAACAATGAAAATTATTTCTTCCCTGATCCTAGAAGTCATATACTCCTGCCCTACTGCCAGAGGGCAGGGAGAGACCATGTTTGTTGCCTTCGGACTATACTAAGAAGCAGGGACCCTGTTTATTTCAGTATTATCTAGAAGCAGGAAGCATTTGGAGATTCCTGGAGGTCAAAAGAATAGTTTCCTGTATACACACCTAATTTGCAACTCACTCTTTCCTCAAATCACTTTTCTTGATGCTTCAATAACCCTTTTTTTATAATTCTAGCAGAACACTTACCACTCAAGGTTGAAGTTATTCATTTACACTGCTGCCACCCCAACAACATGAGTTATTTGCGTTCACTTTTGTGTACCCGTTGCCTGTCGCAGTGCCTGAAAGACAAGTGCTCCAGTGTATGCTGAATAGATTCATGGTTTGTCTTCAAATATCACATAGTTTCAGGGAGTTAAACTAGGTAAGTTAGCAGAGGACACAGACGACAGATTTTTGTTCAAGAAAAAATTCCCTACATTTATCCAGTTCAAAATCGGAATGGAATTCTAGGATTAGGGACCATCATATTACTGGATTACTGGAAATGTAGACAAAAGTTGAATGATAAATTGGAAAAGTTGTTAAAGATGGTCTTTAAGATTCAGTAATTGTTTAGGACAAGGATTGGAGTTTATGTAGATGTTCAGTGTTTTTATTTTATTCTGTTTATATGAAGACTCAAAAGGGTACTACATAGTTGACTGGGGAAAATATAACCAAGAATGACTTTTTGACTGTCTTTTAGTGCTGTTTAGTTGTGAAGCATCACATGATGCTGAGACAGGCATACATGTGCCAGTCAGGGGTGTGAGCTCTGGATCCAGACGACTGGGTTCAAATCCTACCTATTCCTGTTTCTTCCCAGCTGTGGAAGCTTGGCCTGTTACTATCTTCTCTGCACTTTAGCCTTCATCTGTAAAGTTAAAATAATACTAGTCTTTACCTCTTAAGGGTGCTGTAAAAATTAACTGAGAAAACCCAAGCAAGTGCTTAGAACACTGCCAGGTTCACAGTCGTGCTCAATACCCATCGATTATTTCCTACCTCTTCTCCCTGGGACGTGCGTTTTTCCCAGTGCAAGAAATGAAAAGCGCACAGGCTTCAGATTTAGACAGATACGGACTTGAATTACAATTCTGCCGCTTACTATCTGTGGAGGCTTCGAATATTGCTTACTCTCTCCACATTTTATTTCTTTCATTCTTAGTACAGGAATAAGGACACCCACTTCACATGGTGATACGTCCCTTTGACTCCTCCTTCACTTGGCCATTCAAGGAAAGGTGAATGAGAGTCTACCGCGAGCCAGGTACCAAGTCAAGGGCTAGGGGTAGAGCTTGCAGTCTAGGGAGGATAGATGTTAGGTAGATAATTTGTGATCACATAGTTAGTATTTTAACAACAACTCACACATATTGAGTATTTATTTTCTACATGCAAGGCATTGGACTTAGCACTTTTCATGTTTCATTTCAATTAGTTCTCACAACAAACCTTTGAGGCAGATGCTATTAGTATTTTGGAGATGTGGGAGTTGAGGCATAAAGAGGCTAAATAAAGCGATTGGAGCTCAGGCTGGTTGATTCTTGAGGCATTGGGCTTAATCACCGGCTACACTGTGGAGAGCAAGTGCATCAGTCTGTAACGAGCCTTGAGGAACTTGAACTTGTACTGGACAGCAGACGCAGAGGTGCTGGCAAAGGCTTCAGAGAACAGGGAGGCAGGTAGGAGGCACACCAGGGGAGCGTGTCGCCTAGGACAAAAGGGAAAGAACCTGTCCAATGCTTATAAAAGGAACGTATACCAACGTTGACAAAGATTAATTTAAGAGATGTATTTTAAAAGTCTAGCACAATTATTGGAAAATAGCAGGTGTTTAATAAACGCTTGTGCTTATTATTAGTGGTGGTTATTAATTTCTTAGTACTAAAGATCAAAATGCCCATGAATAGAATTATGAGAAAGTACTATCAATATTCTGTTCGTTCTTCCCATGCTGTGCCAGTGACCCAAGAGATAATGACTGTGACATTCAGATTACCTTCCAGTGGTCTGCAATGCACAGCCAAAATTTCATAGACCTGGAATTTTGACAAGTGCTTGTAAGGGTGTGAAAAAGTGATAATAGAGCCCCAAATCCTCTTTCCCAGAGTCTTTGCCTCCAAGTGGGATAAGTGAGAGGGATTTGGGGGTGTAGCAGAACCTGAATTTCAGGCAGAGAGAAAATTCTGCCTTCTTTTTTTCCATCAAGATTAGCTCTAAATGTCCCGAAGGGCAGAAACACTCTCTGCTTACCCACGATCATTAAAATGCATGTCTTCAGGTTTTGCTATGAATTTCAGTGGCCCAAGTAATGCCCTGTTTGTCTAGCTTAAACGTTCCATCTAAACAAAACTTACAGATAAGTGAAGCGCACTCCTTTAGGCCCCAGATTATTAATGTTTAATTTAAAAATGTAGAGTTCATTTCCTTTTCTTTTTCAGTACAGCATGTACTCTCTAGAAAATGGGTTTTTTATAAAGGAATAGTGGAAGATAAAATAAGCTAGTAAAAATTGATGCACTTTACTGAAGGAATGCTGAAATAATTATTTTGATGGGTCAAAGGGAAATTCTGCATCACTCCAGCCTCTGAGACCTATTTTAGTTACTTGAAGTTGACAGATACTGCTTCTGAATAATGGGGTATTCTGTGATCATGCAGACACTCATTTCTTCTGAGTTCACACATTTTCTAAGTATTGCCAGTTTGGCATCCAAATGATAAATGCAAATAGCAAAGTGTTAAGATTGAGTGCATGTTTGGACTGAATGTTTGTGTCCCCCCCCCAAAAGTCCTATGTTGAAGCTCTAACTCCTAATGTGACGGTATTAGGAGGTGGGGGCTTTGGGGAGTAATTAGGTTTATAGGAATTCCTGAGGGTGAGGCCCCCATGATGGAATTAGTGTCCTTATAAGAGGAAGAGACCAGAGCTCTCTCTCTCTCCACCATGTGAGGATGCGTCCAGAAGGCAGATGTCTGCAAGCCAGGGAGAGGGCTCCCACCAGGAAAAAAAAACTTCCTGGCATCTTGATCTTGGACTTCCCAGCCTCCAGAAATGTGAGAAATAAATATCTGTTTTTGTTTTTTGTTTTCTGAGAAAGATTAGCCCTGAGCTGACATCCATGCCCATCCTACTCCACTTTACATGTGGGTCGCCGCCACAGCATGGCTGATGATGTAGGTCTGTGCCAGGATCTGAACCCTTGAATCCCAGCTGCCAGAGTGGAGCTCACGGAGCTTAACCACCATGCCCCTGGCTGGTGCCAAGTGTCTGTTTTTAAAGCACCTAGACTATGATATTTTGTTACGGCAATCTGAGCTGACTAGGACAGTGTAGCAATCATCACATGATCTTGGCCCCAGAAATCCTCTATCCTAAGTAGTTGCAGAAAGAAGCCATAGGCGAGATTAGTTGTGCATCAGTACACATTAAGGTATGCTGAATTTCCTGTTTTTTTAAAAAAATTAATTATTATTTTTTTTTTTTTTGGTGAAAAAGACTTACCCCAAACCAGCATCCATGCCAATCTTCCTCCACTTTGCATGTGGGATGCCTCCACAGCATGGCTGAGGAGTGGAGCAGGTCCCTGCCAGGATCCCAACCTGCAAATCCAGGCTGCCTGAGGAGCGCACAGAACTTTACCCACTAGGCCATGCGGAGGCCCTAATTTCTCGTTTTCTTTCATGTTTTTCCCTCTAGGTTTACAAACCTCTGTATTACCGTACTGTACTAACAAGTTTTTAAAGTTTCTCCTCTTGGATTGCTCTCCATTATTTTCAGAGCTTAAAAGAAAATAAATTTAATTATTTTTTTCCTGAAAGTTTCTCCTGAATAATTTTCAAGATGAGATTTATTATTTGTAAATTACAGTTTTTCCAAATTAAAGGCACTCTAACTAATCAACTGCTTTATGTTCAAATAATACGTTACTGACCTGATACTGATGGAGGCCTTTGCTCGTCTTGCTGTCAGTCTTTCTTTTATGGTTTACAGTGGTGGCCCTAGGGTTGACTGCACACATCTTTAATTTATCACAGTCTTCTTTCAAATAGTATTATTTATATGCAGTATACTTACAATTGCTCCCTCCTGTCTTTCCTGCTATTGTTGTACCTATGCTAAAACCCATAATTCGTTGCTACTTACTTTGCTTTAAACCAGAGGTTACAAGCTATAGCCACCAGACCAAATCCAGCCTGTAAGAATGTTTTTTTTACATTTTTAAATGGTTGAAAATCTAAAAAGAATAATGTTTATAACACATGAGAATTATATTAAATTCAAATTTCGGTGTCCATCATGAAGTTTTATTAGAACACAGCCATGCTCATTCATTTGCATATTGTCTGTGGCTGCTTTGGGGCTACAATGGCGGAGTTGGGTACGACAGGGACCATTTGGCCTGTAAAGCTGAAACTATTTACTCTCTGACTCTTTACAGAAAATGTTTGCTGACCTCTGCTTTTAGAGCATTAAAAAAATAGGGAAGAGAAAATGTCTTTTATATTTATCTTCAATTTAACCATTTGAGGAGCTCCACCCTCACCTCTCAGTCTTCCTTGTGCAGCGTGTCCCAGATGGTTCTCTCTCTGCTCTCTACCTTCCCCCAGGGGTAGACTGCTGTTGCTTGTTACTTGATACCTACTGGCCTGTTGCAGGGGCAAAGGGGCTTCTCTGTTGTCCTGGCCCAGCCTCAGTCTTAGGAAGGATGGGGCATTTTCAGTGGTCCTGCCTCTCTTTGGTCTACCAGCCTGAACTGCTTTCGTCGTTGGAGGATCTTGTGTGGAAGACTTCTCTGCCCTTTCCCCAGTGGTAGGGCACCTTTAACCCTATTGTTATAGGATCCTGGAAATGGGACTGTTTCCTGCCTCTCTCTCCCTGCTTCTTGGGGTAGAGGGCTTTTTCTTTTACCTTCTCCCAGTTGTAATGGGTCTTCACCTCTATTCTTCACCCTGGTCCATTCTTTCTCATGAGTTTCCAGCAAAAGTTTGTGGAAAAAAGCCTGGAATATTTTCCATCCCCAGAGGTTCTATACTTTCATGCTCGCTTACATTTGGACTTTCATCAATTTGTTAGAAATTTTAGCTGAAGTCTTCTTACCCACTTGTATGGCTCCTGGTGCCTCTTCTGCCCATGATCTGCCACTGGCGAGTGAGCCTGGGCTCCCTTCTCTCTGCTTGGAGGGGCTTTTACACCCTTTACTACTCTCTGTTTTGCAAAGTTAACTCATCCAATGTGAGATAAAATTCACATTAACGTAGTGGAGTAAGAAACCATCTTCCCAGTTGGGAAGACAGACTTTGAAGGCGTTTTTGCAGCCTGGCTAATTTTTGGTTCTTGTTTGCACATCTGAGCAACTGTTTGGTTATGCAGACTGTCTTTATGTTGTTGCTCATATTTCAAATTAAAATCCAATTCAGAGATTAATTTGAGTGGATCTGTATTATGGCACACTGAGCTAACACAGAACCTCTCCTATTACAAACATCAAGATGTACCAGATAAAATGGAGCAATTAAAAACTGTCTTTAGCTTAGATTGTAAGCGAGAAAGAATGATCTTCAGGTGCCGCAAATGAAAGGGGAAGGGATGGCTGGAATGGTGATGGTATTGAGCTGACATCTTGGCAGAAGCGGAGAGGGGGAGACGAAAATACGTCAAGAGGTCTCAGACTCAGAAATAAGCCCCACAGCTGGAGGCAAAGCAGGAGCCGGGGCTGAGTCCTTAGATCTGCGCTGTACCCACCCCCTACACTTCAGTACTTAGCTCGGAGTCTGAATGCATGCCCCAGACTTGGTTCAGGAAACTCTCCCTCAAGAACTTTACATAACATGAGTCCTAGGCTAGAACAGACTAGAGGAAGTAAAATGAAAGCATTCTGAAGAAACATCTAGCTACATCGGTTTCTCACAGAATAAACAATGCCTGTCTCACAAAGGTGCACTCACAGTTAAATATATGAAACGTATGAGAAGGACGTAGAACACTGGAGTGAGTCAGTGCTGCGTGAATGAGCCCTGCGTTTCTGGCAGAGGGAACAGAAATTTGGAGAGAACAAGGTATGTCTGCAAAACTAAAAGAACTTGATATAGAAGAAATCAGAAAGAGACTGTAAAATAAGCATGTTTATAATTATTTTAAAAATATAGAGGAGATAAGTAAAGAACATGAGATGGAAATTTTAAAAAGATTATTGAAAAATATGAGAAAAAAATGCTGAAAGAATAGTTTTTAAAAAAATAAAATGTCAAATTATATTAAAGTTTTGAAAAGTTTGAAAATTTCTATTTATAAGACCATTTTTGTGTATTCACATACAGGGAAAAATCACTTAAATAGCACCATTTTCACTTTATCTGATGCAATAGGCATATATTAGAAATGACTGTTGAACTTGAAAAGAAGCAACTGTGGGTTAAGTATTAAAACAGGCAGGTACTGGAGATAAGGCTTGTGTCTGGTTTTGATTTTCTGAAATATAAATCTGATCATGTCATCCCTTGCATAAACTCTTCAGTGCCTTCCCATTGTCCAACATTCTTAGTATATCTTAATATGTTCCTAATTTTATTAACTGACCATATACCAAATATTTATTTGTATATAGCCTTTCCCCTTTACTCTTTATGTCCCACATGCCTAGAACATAGCCTGGGACGTTGTAGATATTTAATCAATATTTGTTGAATAACTAAATAAACTCAGAGTCTTGGCAATGTTGTTCTCTTTGTGGGAAAACTCTCCTTTCCTCTTCCCTTTTCAGTACAAACTCCCACTTATCTTCTTAGCATTCAGGTTTCAGATTCCTCAAGAAATCTTTTCTTGCTCCCTCAGCCTAGGTTAGATCCTTCTTTTTTATGCTTTCCTAGCACCTTACAGTGCCTTTTTGTAAATTCACTCAATCATTCACTCAACAAATATTTTTCGAGTGCCTCCTATGTCCCAACCCCTCTTCCAGGCCCTGGGGATGCAGTAGTGAACACAACAGATGCCTTCTCAACCCTTGTGAGGCTTACATTCTAGTGGGTGAGAGTGGAGGGTAGACAGAAGACAGTAAACAAGCGCAGAGTTCTTCCTAGCTTTGCGAGCAGGTGAGGAGACATGAGGCAGTGTTAGGGGATGAGTGAGCTGAGGAAGTGGGGGTGGCTCTTTTATACAAAAGACCATGGAAGTCCTCACGCATTAGGTGTTTCAGAAGAGAATCTGTAAGTAAATGAAGAGTTGGCCCTGAGGATAACTGGGGACAAGTGGCCCAGTCAGAGGAAACAGCAAGCGTAAACGCCTTGAGACAATAATGTTCTACAAGTGTAGGAACAGCAATGAGCCCATTGTGGCTGGAGCAGAGTGAACAAAGGAAAGGGTGTTAAGAGATGAAGTCAGAGAGAGATTTATTTTTTATTTTTGACATGTGATGTTTTAGTCGTTACAGTTGCCATTGGGATGGGCAGGGCACAGCAGGAACGGGCTGGCTGCGGGTTCTGGCTGGATGCTGCTAGGAACGCCAGGTCCCGAAGGTGCAGCCCCAGGAGCAGTGGCGAGGTGGCGCGAGGCTGCACAGGCTGCTCTACGGTCCGCGGTCCAGGGCCGGGAGCGGGGACTCAGAGAATCCAGAGGACTTCAGGACTAGCCCTCCACGGGCCTGGTGGAACCCCCGCCCCACTTCCTCAAGCCTCAGAGGGGTTTCACCTCGGTCCAGGGATCCCAGCCCCGGGTCCAGGGTCTGGCCTTTGTGGTGCCCATCTTTTGGAGGTGCAGTTGGGAGGTCACAGCCTGGGGACTGGGTCCAGCCCAGCCAGCTCAGCAACTGGTCAGCGCTCAGCTCCCTCCAGTGCTGCTGGGGCAGCTAGGGCAGGGAGGGCCCAAGCAGTCAGGTCTCAGCAAAAGCCCTGAGCAACCAGCCGCCAGACGTGGCACCTACGGCTGCTGATGGCCCCCTCGGCGGCCTCCTGGAAAACGGGTGGACGTTTCGTGGAGCTGAGCCCAGCACATGCGAGGCCACTGCGCCCACCGACTGTGTGAGGCGGAGGCTTGCTATTTTAAAGACTTGGCTTTTACTCTAAGGTATTAAAACCACAGGAGTGGTTTCTGTTTGAACAGGTTTCCTCTGCTATGTTGACCCGAGCAGGTAAAGAAAGGGCAGACAGGGAGATTAGTTAGAAAGTAATGAAAAGAATCCGGATCAGAGATGATGGTGGTTGGGATCCGATTGCAGCCGGAAAAGTAGTGGTAAGTGGTAAATTCTGGTTACATATGGAAGACAGCCAGCAGGATTTGATGAAAGGTCGAAAATAGGGTGTGAAAGAAACAAAGCAGTCAGTGATGAAACAGGGGTCTGGCTTGAGTATCTGAAAAGGTGAACTCCCCCTTACTCAAATTGGGAAGAATATAGAAGAACATAGTGGGAAGAATTTTGTCCAGGAGGAATATGGATTTTGGATATGTGGGGATATCTATTAGACTCTCAAAGAAAGAGTCTGAGTTGGCAGCTATATGTAAATTCTGGAACTCAAGGGAAAAGTCCAGGATGGAGATATAAATAGGGGAATTATCAACATATAGATGGTATTTAAAGCAATCTGGAGGATGAAAAGACATGAAATTTGATGACTCACCTCTGGGTAAGTCCAACATTTAAAGGTTGAGAAGATGAGGAGGCACAAGGCAGAGAAGAAAACTCAAAAAGAGTGGTGATGAGAGGCCAAGTAAATGAAGCCTTTTAATAAGATGGGAAGGACTGTCTGTGTTAAACGTTAATAGGAGAGGTAAGATGTCATCTGGGAATTGACCATTGTGTCTAGCGGTGTGGAGGTCATTGTTGGTCCTGACACTTTGTTGAAATAGGAGGTAAAAGCTTCATTGGAGTGGGTTCAACAGAGAATGGGAGCAGATAATTTAGGGAAAATGCGAACAACTTTTGCGGAGAACTTTTGCTTTCAAAGGAGCAAAGACATAGTATAGTAGCTGGAGGGAACTACAATACTCAACCTACTGGACACTCCTAAGTCTAAAAATGGTAAGAACTATACACTGTGGCAACAACTGTGTCCATCTTGTTAACTTCTTTTTGCCGAGTACAATGCTTGACCCAAAGCAGATGCACAATTCAATAGTTCTTAAACAAATAAGTACCGTTTCAGTTAAAATTATAACCTAAAATTTGTTGATGGTTTATAAATATTTTCAATAGGTGTTACTTTTTCTTTGAAATTGGACAAGAATATGTATTGTGACGTTGGTTAAAAACTGAAGTGATCACAGATAATATGATCCTTCCACGTCTACTCATCAGTTCCCCAGCTGACTCAATTATGCCAAGCACCACATGCCACTTTTATTTCAGAAAAAAAAGTACAATATGACAAATTAGTTTACCAAAAATATTCAGTGCAGGTAGCTTTAATTATCTACAGCAGAGTTTTTCAAATCATGGGGAAAAGAATGTAAACATACTTTTCTTCCGCAAAGAAGACTTTGATTTAAGTTTAGAGAACATCAGGAAACCATTAAGTCTTTAAAGAGATGTTTCTGGTACCGTAGTTGTGTGTAAAATGTTGATTCATTGCTAAGTGATGGTTCACATTTACTTGGTGAAACATATTTGTGTGATGTGGGGATGAGCAATTGTAGTACAATAGATCCTAAGCTTGACATCTGGTGAACCACAGAGATGAATGAAGTCATGACAACTGGGATGAAACATGTAGGTTGCAGACAGATAGAGGTGCTTAGCTTTGTTTAATGGGTAATTGAGAGTGTGTGAAAATTTTGAGCAGGGAAGTGGAATGACCTGAGCTGTATATTTATTAACTAACATGAAAATTCGTTGCAGGATTGAATGTGTGGTAAAGACAAGTGTTTTACACACTTTACCCTGGGAGATTTTTTGGGAAGCTCCTTGAAAACGTTTCCATGGTAAAATGATTTAGGAAGCATTGGGTTTCTCAAACACTAGGTTAAACAAACTTAAAGATGTTTCTTTATGTGGCCTGTGATATACTTTGTGAATCCCCAAGTTGTATGGAATATGCAGATCATGGAACTCTGTTCAAGGAACCCTATTATTCTTTGGAACAGTTTGACAGTTTGGGGTTGTATCATCATTGTAATCTGGATGTCCTACCTTGAACTTGAGGAGGAGTCATGGAAATGGAAAGGAAGGAAGAGATAAAAACGAGCATGCCTTACTGAATAATAGGTAGTGAAAACAGGGAAAGGAAAAAGTCAAAGTGGAAACATGTTGGTCCACACAGTTGATGAGTTTAGCTTAGCACTTCATGAGCTTAAAGATGCTAGGGCACAACCAAGTATAAATTGGGACTTTGACTTGGCAAAGTGTTCAAGGCTGGAAACAAATTTCAGAAGCACATATTCCATATAGTATATAGTGCAGAAGAATAATCTTGAAATAATTAGAGCATGAATTAGGAATATTGAAGAATAGCGACAGATTTCTTTTTCAGAAAAAAATGCGAGATAGAGCAAAAGCCTAGTTTTAGAAAAGATATGGCAACAAGTACTTAACAGTAAGTACCTTTTTGTTAGTATGACAAGCATCATTTTCAGTATTCAGACTGAGATATAAAAAGAAAACCAATGTAACAAGTGTTTTTCTGCTCCGCATATTAGTTCCCCGTGTCAGTAGAGTGTGATGCCTCCTTCGGCAATCCCGACATGCTCAGGGGACTTGGGCAATCAGTGTTTTGTGACAAGCCAGGCGTTCCTCACTGTTTTAGCCTTGCCATTCCTCCTGTGAGCCTTACCTCATGATGATCCGTTGTGTCTACATCAGGATTACAATCCTAGGTTCGCATCTCCTCTCCTTGACATTCTCAGAGGTCTACCTTCTGGGCCTGCTTGTGAACCATCATTCTCAAAGAAGCACTTATTTCTTAAAACTGTGCTTGTCAGCACTGCAGGCGTATCATGGAAAATGTAGGAGCTTATATAATGACTCAAAGGCTGAAAAAGCGTCACCACCAGAAACAAAACCTTTTAAAAGATCAGAAAACTGAGATTAAATAAAATACAGCACAATATGTCTTTTGTTGTATTAATATCCTTTGCATAATTATGTCTACCTGCATTTGTATTTAGAAGGAAATGCATGTAGCAAAACATGTAGTTGCATTTTCAAGGTCACAATGTGGCGTTTGGAAGAAAAATATGGAGCAGACGGTAAGCTCATAGGAAAATTAAGTCAGCCAGCTCTCCCCAGATGGTCACCTTTGTACTGTTTTTTGTAGCTTATGAATTAGGCACCTGTGTTTTCTTCAACTTACTCCTTGCCATGTGAATTCTTGCATTTGACATTTTAATTGCAAATAAAAACAATAAATCCTGATTTTTTCCACCAAAAATCCCCCATGTTTTTTATTCTTATTTTTTCTTGAAATGTAAAACATTTACTCATATCTTGGAATTCCTAAAATGCTTATTTGTATTTTACAACATACTGCCTGGTATGATAATAGAAAAGCAAGTATAGTGGTTCAACTCACAGAAAGGATTTCTTTTTCCACTTTTCAGGAGACTGGCTTGAGTCACTTTTAAGACCTGTTCAATTTTAAAATATGTATATTACATTTTTTCTATAGAATGAATTTTTTAAAGGACATCTATGATTGATGGTGAGAATAGCCATATTGATTTCACATCAATTCAGTTTAAAGTGTTCCTTGAGTGTAATAGTCACGTGTTAAGTCCATCATATACCCCCATACATGAGAAGAACATAATGCCTTTGAATAAACAGTGATTTTCAGGTTAGTAATGTGCTTTTCTCAGTCACTGCTTTTGAACTTCTATGACGTTAGAACTGGCCTTGTATTACTGAAAACATGAATTCATACTCAGACTTAAGTCCTGGGATCTTATTTATCTTGTTCAAAAGACAAAACAAAGCTAAGCTTATTTTATTTAATCTTCTCTTAAATGGAACAGAAACAAGCTATTTACTATAAATTCAAGACCTTGTTAAACAAGTCATTTAAAGTTTATTTCATTTGCCTGTTTATTTTGAGTCAATTATATCCTAATGACTCACAAACTAGAAAAGGTACAAGTATAATTTTAAGGACTACTAGTGGTCTATGGGATTAAAATTTTTTCATCTGACAAGAAAATATTAAATTATTTTTAATCTAATATGAGGTTGCAGCATCTGTTTTTACCCAATTAAATGTTTTATTTGTGAATTTTAAAATTAAGTCCTCATTCTTAGAGTCTACAACCCAACTTACAAACTCCATACCCCAGAACTTCCTTAAAATTACATTCAAAAAAAGTTTCTGATAATTTTCATGTTTATAGAGATTGAATTATGACTATAGCGTCAGTGAACAGTCTTGAGCAGTGTGTGTTGAATAGCATCAAGCAAGTCAAGCCTACCCCAAAATATTTCCTCCATCTTCTGGACAACTATTTTCTTTTGGCTCATTTATTTGTTCAATAAATATTTAATGAGTACTTGCCATGTTACAGTCTTCAGCTGGGCGTGGACATCAAAAGACAACAGAAACCAATCATGGCTCTTGTTCTTATGAAGCTTACAATATACGGGAGACAGTAGTCCAATAATTACAGAGATAAATGTAAAATTACAATAATGATGAGTACTAGGAAGCAAAGATAGATGGTGCTATGAAAGAACCAGGGTGCATAGTAGACATTTAATAGTAGGTACTTAGTATTTGTTGAATTAATGAAAAGTAACTGAATGAAAGGGATAACATGGAGAATTGTCCTAGAGAAAGCTTCCCTGAAGAAGTTACGTTTGACCTGAAATCTGAGGCATGAATAAGCATTCAGTTGGTAAAGAGTGTAGGAAAAAAGGTTTTAAGTTTTTGTGGCAAGATAGCATATGACAGATAAAAAGGAGTGAGCCTGTAATAAGAATTCAAAATAGAACGTGGTGACAGAAAAAGCTGGAGTGGTTGGTCTTCATTCACAGACAAAATGATTATCTATATAGAAAATCCTACAAAATCTATCAAAAAGCTGCTAAAACTAATAAGTGACTTTACTAAGGTGAAAAGATATAAGGCTAACATAAAAATATCAATTGTATTTCTATATAATAGCAATGAACAATAGGAAACTAAAATTTAAAAACAGTAATATTTGCAATAGCATCACAATCTTGAAACATTTAACATTGAAGATTTTTGCAAATTTAACAAAATATGTGCAAGAATTGTATACTAAAAACTACAACATTGCTGAGAAAAACTAAAAGTATAATAAATGGAATGATATACTATGTTCATGGTATTGCATGATTCAATATTTTAAAGATGTGAGTTTTCCCCAAATTGTTATACAGATTCAACAAAATCCCAGTTAAAATGTGAAGTCTTTTTTTTTAAATTGTCAAGTTAATTGTAAAATTTATATGAAAATACAGAGAATATGGAATAGCAATATGGAAAAACAAGAACAAAATTGGAGGGTTTATATTACTACTTCATTTCAAAATTTACTATAAAGATACAATAATCAAGAAAGTGTGACAGTGTAAGTATTGATATGCAGATCAATGAAATAGAATAAAGTTCAGAAATAGGCTCACGAATATATAGCCAATTGATATTCAACAGTTGTGCTGAGGAAACTCAATGGAGAAAGGCTACCTAAAAGGTATCTAAAGTACCTAAGTGGTACCATAAAAATTGGATACCTATATGCAAAATATCCAGCCTCAACCCTTCATACCTTACACAAAAGTCAACTCAAAATGGGCCATCGATATAAATTTAAGACTTAAAACTATATTCTTTCAAAAGAAAGTATAGAAGAAAATCTTTGGAACCTTGGGTTAATCCAAGATTTCTTAGATTGAATGTACAAAGCATGAACCATAATACGAAATGATGATAAATTTAAAATTATTGGTCTTTAGAAGGTATCGAGGAAATTAGGAGACAAGCCAAGGACTAGGAAAAAATATTTGCAAAACATATCTGATACAGAATTTGTATCCAGACTATATAAAGACCTCTTAAAACTCAACAATCAAAATAAATGACCTATTTAAAAAAATAAACAAAAGATTTGAGTAGACATTCCACCAAAGAAGATGTACAGATGGCAAGTAAGCATATGAACAAATATTTAGTATCATTAGTATTTAGAGAAAGCAAATTAAAACTACACTGAGATACTCCAATTAGAATGGTTTGGTTTTTTTTTTTAAAGTTCTCATTTCTGTGTGTGATTTTAAAAAGGCAAACTTTGCTCTGCATTGTCATTATCTCGAGTACACAACAGTATAGAAATGGCTCTTCTCTCATACAAGATCTCTTACCTAGTCTCATGGCTTCAGTCTTTTCTCTCCAGTAATTATCTTTCATTTGATGATAAACTCTCATCTTCCCAAAATCATCCCTGTGATCAAAACCTCAGGCAAATGATAGTGTCCTTTGACCTCAGTTTTTTTGTATGTAGAAAGTAGAGATTGGAACATAAAGTCCCTTCCAACTCTGTGATACTAGTTCACACTCCTAAAATGGATAACTTTTTGATAAAAATCAGGCAAAATTAGTGTATTTCACTTACGTTTGACTTACCTATGGTATCAATAGGTGTATACAGACACCTAGTTCCGGTAAGAGATACTCTGCATACAATTGTGCATATTAAAACGACAGCATTTATTTTGATTATTTTCATTATTCTTTCCCCTGGATCAAATTTTCATTTTAACTTTTGTTACTGATATATCTCAATTTCATAAAACATGAACACTGATGTAGTAGATATGTGAATATTGATTTAGAAAATGTTGGAATCATTCTTGATTGTACGCGTTTGTGTATACAGCAAGCTATTTTTAATTAGGATCAAAGGACAAAAACAAGTCTGAACAATTTCAGTTAAATATTGAGCGGTGTGGTGGGAAAAGATCTGGCCTGGGATTCAGAGTATCTTAGTTCTAGTTCTGCCTTCATCATTGTCGTATCAGACTATTAAGAAGTGCTGAAGGCTGGGAGTGACTGAATCATGACACCAGTGACAAACTATCTCTTTATTCCTCCTTGCTGAAGTGGCCATTCCTTGGCCACCTGCATACCTAGTCTTAGAAGCAGGCTCTTATTAGGCTCTGTATTCACCTGTGATTGGGAATACCTATCTGATTATGGAAGCATACAGTCTAATATAAATCCTCAAGTATAAATATTAAACAAAAACAAAAAAATCAGGGGCCAGCCCGGTGGCGTAGTGGTTAAGTTCAAGTGCTCTGCTTTGGCGGCCTGGGGTTTACAGGTTTGGATCCCTGGCGTGGACCTAGGACTGCTTGTCAAGCCACTCTCTTGCAGCATCCCACATAAAATAGAGGAAGACTGGCACAGATGTTAGCTCAGGGCCAATCTTCCTCACACACACAAACCAAAACAAACAAAACAGAAAAATCACCAACTCTTTGAGAATAATGGAATTTATAAAGGTACCTATTTCAAAAAAAACAAAAGTTACCCCAGAGAAAATAGAATGAATAGAGGAAACAGAATACATGCTTTAAAAAATAAATATGAGAGAAAATCAAGAAAATGATAAGCTGATATGAGAAACAATCATAAAGAGAGAGTTTGAAAATAAAGAGATGAAAGATGAAATACCAGGGAAAAGTTAGTACAAAAACATGTCAGAATAATTTAAAAATATCAGGCAAAATAAAATTTAAGCCAAAATTAAGTGTGACAAAGGTTGATGTTTACTGTAGAGAAAAATTACTGAGACTCTATTAGAATCCTAAACCTTTAGGTCCCTAGCATCATAGTTTAGAAATGTATGTGTATGAGGCAAAACCTGTTCATGGGAAATATTAGCAATTCACAAAACTTTCTTAGAGACTGACAGCTCAAATAGATAATAAAAAGTAAGACTACTTGAAATTTCAGTAAATTACTTAACAATCTTGAGCATACATATTATGTTTGTATCTGTATTATCTATTATTTTCAAACATCTGGAATATTTGCAAAAATGCTGTTCAAATCCAAAAATGAGAAATCACACAAGTAATTTTCTCTGATTGGTATGGAATGAAATCAAAAAGTAAAGAATAAAAGTACAATCCTCTTAAAACCATTCCCTTGGAAAAAATTTATTTTGCTCTAAATAACGTTTACTTTAAGAAATCAAAATTAAATGGTTGGCTAGAAAGAGTGATCTACTTGTCAAAAGAAGAAGATATAGCTACGGTGGAATTCTGAGAAAAATGTAGGGTCGTTAAAACACACATACACACGTAAATCTAAGCTAATGATGAAGGAAGCAATAAGGGTAAAAGCAGATATTAGTAAATAAATGATGATGAAACAATGTATTTCATAAAATCAAATGCTAGATCTTTGAAAAGACCAATAAAATGGATGAAATTTTTTCATGTTTGATCAAGAAAAATGAGCACTGGTACAAATAACTAACTTTGAAGTGAGAACTAGGACATAACTATAGATATTGGAGAGGTTTTTAAAAAGTCTAACGTACTGTATACAACTGTAGAGCAAAAAAAAGAAAATTGGATGAAATGTGCATTGTTGGACCATAGAAATTCTTACAATTGACTATGAAGTGGTAGAAAATCGGAATAGCACAATAACAGAAGAAATTGAAAAGAAAAGCTAAAACTTATCCCTAAGAAAGGCCCCAGGTCCAGATGAATTTACAAAGATCTGTTCTTCAAACAACAGATACTTCTAAAATATTTCAACTACTCCAGAGCATATGTTAAAATTGATAGAGAAATATTTGGTGACTCAGTAAATAAAATACTAGTTAGAATTCAATTAAATCTAATATAAAGAATGATCTGAACACAAAGAAAATGATTACCCTAAGGCAAAAATTTTAAAGAAATGCAATCATCACATGCCTATGATTAAAATTCTTAGTAAAATAATGAATTTTGGAATTTAGAGAAAATTAAATAAGATAGCTACTGCAATTTTAAACTAAAATGATTTATTTAGTTAAATTATTTTGAACCATCTTTGAAAGTTTTAATTTTAGAAAAAAGATTAGGGATACTTAATAATATAGACAAAAATTTTAAAATATTTTTTAAACAAAGAAAAAATATCTAAAGCATAGGACTGGGATTCATACTTACTCTATAAACCCCCAAGATGTGAATTTATTTTATAGTTGGGAAAAAAAGCACTCAAGTTTGTTTTTTGTAATCTTTAAATTTATTCAATACATCATATAATTGTATTTATGACCAAATAACACTTCATTAGTTACTATTAGTTTGCTATGCAAATGCAATAACTTACTAAACAATTATTTTTCCTCCTCCTCTATTCCCAAGATTTGGTTTATAAATGAAATATCAACAGAAAGTCTGAGAAAGCAGCCCCAGGGAATCTAACATAATGAGGAGAAACTCATTACTTCACAATTTTCACTTGGAATTTTAAATCATCTATTATGCAGCTCATAGTAATCATGTTCTCACATATATGTGTATATATAAATATATAAACTATTCACCATAACAATGTCTGCAAACACCAAGCTTCACTTTATCCTCTAATCATCTTTTAAAGACTTAGATAGCAGCACACTAACCTCACCATACAATTCTCAAAGTAACTAAGAAACTGGATGACAGATGATACAGCGGTGATAGGGTAAAAGAGAAAACATATTATTAAGTAACTTGATAGCAGAATAATATATCAGTGTCAGCTTAGATAAAAACATTCATCCGTTTTCTAGTATAGGAGATATTCAAGGGCATGAAAAGTTAAATTTGTAAGGTTTCTTTATAGCAAGCTTTCTGAAAACATGCAACTTGATTGGGTGTCTCTCCAGCAATTTCATGATGAAAGCTTTCCCCTTCAATTTCCTGAGCACTATGAAGAGGGGAATTGGGATTTCCTGATAATAATTATAATGAAAAACTCCCAATTTTATGATAAGCACAGATGGGATCACTACCAATATAAAAGCTTGGTCGTTTTTCATGTACTAAGCTAGGGAAGAATTACAACTCACAGAGCCTAAGGGTACACATCTTTTTGTGTCTGGTATTTTAAGATGCTGGACAATACTTGTTTAACTGACTTTTGTTGAGAAAACATTAGATAGGAAAAGAGTTATGGAAGGAAGGGTAAAATACATACACTTCAGTTTAATGTTGAACTTCAAGCTCTTGAAAGGTGCTCTGTTCTTTCATCCAGCTGCATCTGAAATTGAATGAGGTCATAGATGAAGTGTAAATAAGCAATAGTGTGGATGGACAGGCTGGGTAGCTGGTGAGGCACTGCTGAAGTATCATATTGTTAATCTTATGTGGTAGTTGTATTCCTACGGCTGTATTTCCAGTATTTAATTGGTGAATGAATAAGTGCTTATCATATTTATTTTTTAAGAAACTTCTGAAACAATTTGTCTGCATATAGAATGTTGTAGATTGGGCAATACACTTTAACGACCTCTCCGGAGAGCTTAGAATAAGACTTCCCTAAAAATTTCCACAAGTGCTAAAATAGACTCTAATCCACTGTCAAGTCATACCCATTGGTTCTTATTCTTCCCACTTGCAGAAGATTAAATCTGATCTTTATAGAAAGGTGGAGTCCAGTCCCTTAAATCCTCATTTTCTCAGAATTCACATTTTGTAAGAAACCTAAATGTTGTCAAAAAGGGCTTGACCCAAGTGTCATTGTTAACTAGTGAATACAAATACTTATATAAATATAAGGAGGAAATTTAATTCCATACAATTTCCAAGTGGCTACAATTGGCATGATTCTGTTTAGGATACAATGGCATATACAAAATTTAATAGGACGCAGAAAGAGGGCAGTAGATTGTTCAACTTCTTCCAGACACACAAAAACAGATTATATTTTGGCCAGGTCTAATTCCTCATAGATTCCCAAAACACAATCAAGTTAGGTGTTCATTTGCATGGAGGCCATGAAGGCTGGAAACAAGAACAAATGAAATGGACTAGTTGCACTCTCATTAGGAATAAGGTTATAGTCGGCTGTCATGATGTGTAGACATGGATGCAGGATTAAATAGAAAAGCGAGGTGAAAATATAGAAGTAAAGGAAAGACATCAAATATAACAGAGACAAAAGAAAGCTCAAGCAAAAAGGAACGTGGAACTTTTGATTTCTTGAGGTCTCCGGTAATGATGGGCAAAGCAAGCTTCAATTTTAGCTACTTGGGAAAATTAGATGAATTTTTTTTTTTAAAAAAAAAAGGAAGGAAGAAGAGGAAAAGAAAAAGAACACAAGACTAAACATAATTCCTAGAAAAACTGGGAACACATTACTCATTCCTGCCACATGACAGGGATTGTTGAACAGAGACAGCTGTATCTTAAGCTTTGTATACCTGCAGACTCCTTTATTGGGTAAGTAATTACTTTCAAAGGAAATAGGTATCTTCCATTTCAGAGAATCTCTTAGCAAGTACAGGTTTTCATTTTGTAACATAAATTGTTCCCCTGATGGCAGTGGGTTTGGCAAACACTTTGAGCAGAGTCTGGGCCAGGATTTTGTCATTCTATAAGTTCATGATTTAAAAATGCTAGTAGTATCAAACATTTTTTGTGATACACTTCAGTGTCATCCCAAATCCCATAAAGAAAAGTCAGCTTTTGATAATAAGTATAAAGTGGGCTATTTTTAACAGCATAATGAGAAAGTTTTAAAGTTTGAGCACATTTAAATTGAGCTGTTCTTCCTAGAGTTTACTGGTTACCTTGCATTTAGGGAATATGGCAAGTTGTTGGTGGATCAAAGCAGAGATGACTGTCACATGAGAAGGACACACTGATTGTCATGTCTCATTAGTAACTTGTAAATTGACAGTTTCCTGTCACATCACAGCAATGGAAGCACAAAGCATTATTGACCACTTATTTATTTTGTTGGTGCTTATGCTGTGTTGTACAGCATTAGATTTTTAAACTGAATATTCTTTGGCCCAGTTTTTAGATATGCCAAAAAGCTAGTTATAAGTCAATATTTCATGTGCACTATTTAAAATGTCATCTGAATAATGACTTCTACAATACCGTACATGAAATACTGACTTCGGGATGGATTTAGTTGTTTATAGCTGTTAAACTGTGGTTGCTCAAATATAAGAGTATGTCTTTAAAAAGAGGACATCTAGTCACCTTGTCAAGGGAAATTTGAGTAGAAAATTCTCTTCCTATAATTTTACATTTCCTCTTCAAACATTGCCACTAATAGAACAGGAAGTAAGAATTCACAGGAAGAACGGATTTGGAGAAAAGATGATATGGATCTCATACACAGATCATACGCCAGGCACTCTATATGAAAATCTCGTTATAATTATATCTCATCTGGACCTTGCAGTAACTGTATAAAATCAGTAATACCACAGTTTATATTTCCCATGTCTCTGACTTTGAGGTCTATATCCATATTCTCTACCTGCTTGGTGCGGTGCTAAAACATTATACATAGTCCCTTATTGACCCTGAATCGAGGGATCTTTAATGGACAGGAAGAGAGTAACAGGAGAAAGTGCCACCCTCTTTTTATTTCCTTTTAAAATAATTTTGTCTTCAGGGTGGTGATACTTTTCTTCTCCCTTGTTATTCTTGTTACTTATTAAATTTGTAATACGTAACAGGTGTAATAAGACACGATTTGCTTATAAGTAAAGCAACAGCCACAATTATTGATGAAACACTGCTAAGGCATGTGACTGTATTCACTAATAAATCCTTTTCTGCTCAAGAGGCATTCTGTTGAGACCTCATCATACACCTCTGCACCCCCTCAGGGTACAGATTCTTCTTCTATCCACCTGTGCTGTCCGTGTCTTGCCATCCCTGCTACCACCATTCTAGTCGAACCTTCCACCACCAAGCCCACTGTAATAGCCTTCTTCCTAACTGGTTTTCTATATACACCCTTGGTCCACAATAATTAATATTCCAAACAACCATCATGGTGGTATTTATAAAATGCGAATTAGATCACATCGTTCTTCTGCCCAAAACTCTCCAATGGCTTTCTTTAGCAATTACACTAAAATCTAACCTTCTTATGAGATCTTCGCACGAAAGTCTGGCTCCCATTTACTTCTTAAACTTTGTCTCTCATATAGCAGTGTGCTGGGATTGGTACTTTCTGCCTTGTGAGAGCTGATGGTTAAGTAGTTAAGAATTTTGCAGGCCAGTGGTATTGTGTTGGTAGTTTGAAACTGGCCATGCTAGGAGTATTTACACCACAGAAATCAGCAAATGCTACACATTAGGTCTTTTTTAAAATTTGTCTGTTCGTTTTGGAGAGCTGGTTGTTAATCATTCACGAGCACACCACTGTTACTATTGCTTTCTGCCTCATTCACCATGTTCTACTGACCCTGATTGTGTCTATTCCTCTAACATATAGGCTTGGTCGCTTGCTCACCTCACTTTGGGGTCTTAGTCCTTGCTATTCTCTTTGTCTGGATGCCCCTCCTTTGGGTATTCATAGTGCTAGCTCCTTCTCAACATTTGGGTCTCAGTCCAAATGTCACCTTCTCAGAGAGGCTTTCCCGACTATCTTAAGCAAAGGACACCATATGTGACTCCAGTTTCTCAATAACATCGGCCTCATCCCTGCACTTAGAATAGTGCCTTTGACGTCATGTGCTCTTTTATCAGTTAGCTTGTATTTATTTGCAAGCCACAGAAAACCAAATAGTAAAGCACATATTTGTCTCATAGGCAAGAATCATGGGGTTGCACAGCTCAAGGCGGGTACAACAGTTCAGTGATGATGTCGAAGGCTAGGCCCCTTCCTTCTTCCTGCTCCACCTTCCTTAGCATGTGACAGTCATTTTCGTGATCACAAAACAGCTGTTTCACCTCTAGGTGCTTTAAAGTATTATAGCTGGCAAGAGAATGGGGAAAGAGGAAGGGTGCAAAGACCAAAATGCTGAAGGCATATGCTAGCAGTTTGTCCATTTAAAAAGCCTTCCTGGAAGCCACACCCGGTGACTTTACACTTACGACAACTTGGCCAAATGACAAAAATGTCTGGAAAGAGAAGTATGTTCGCTTTCCAGCTTTTGAAGAAGAAGGCAACAGATAAAAGGGTTTTAGATAGTTTTGAGGTAGATAATTCATATTGTTTGCCATAGTAACCAATAAATTTTTATGAAATTAATGGACAATATGCGTTAAATGATCCAGCTCTATCTTCATCCAGGTTCCAGATTTAGATGAGTCATGGGTCAAATTCTGCAGTATAAATTTCAGTCAAATTAATCAGAATCCATCATTAAGGAAAGAGAAGATGATAATTGAACTATTCTAGATCACTGGAAGCTCATCCCACTTAAGTTCCAATATTTTGTTATTGTTTCTGTTTATAACTTTCCACCTATTTTAAAGGAAATCTTTCCAAGATGTCAGCTTACATTCATCAGGCAATTGATGATGATTTGATCATTTTTCAATTATCAAAATATGTTATCAATATGAACATATTGATTATACCATAATGTATTGGAGGGTTACCTCCTGGGTCTTTGGGCAGTGGTACGACTTTGCCTCAGTTTACAATGGTCTATGACGCTATATTCAAAAATTAAGCAAAAAGTTTGCTGTACATTTATTGTTTTATTTCTAATCTCTTTTCTGTGACAGAAAGGAGAAATTTTGAGTCAAACATATCTGGGTTTGAATCCTGGCCCCACCATTTACTACTTGTACAGCCTTGGGCCAGAGAATTCATCTTTCTGAGCCTTAGTCATTTTTTCTTTTACTTTTCCTTAACTATATAGTGGAAAAAATAGTAATACTTTTATATACATACCTGTGAGAATTTTATGAGATGATCTAAATAAGGCAAGTAAGCACTGAATAAATGATGGCTGTTAACTCACTTTGTTCTGGATCACATGTTAAATTATCAGTAGCCTGTAAAGTGCATTTGTGAACCACTTCCTGCATCAGAACCATCTGAGATGACTACTAAAATAGCAGATTTCAAGGCTCCACACTCAGCTTCTTTTTTTTTAAATCTCGATTTTTACTAAGTGATCCAGGATTAAATTTTTTTTAATTTTTAATTTTTTTAATTGCAGTAACATTGGGTTATAACAATATATAGCTTTCAGATGTACATCGTAATATATTTTGAACTCTGTGTAGATTACATCATGTTCCCCACCCAAAAACTAATTATAGTCCATCCCCTCACATGTGACCCTAATCACCCCTTTAGCCCTTCCCACTCCTTCCCCTATGGTAACCACCAATCCAAACATTTTTATGTTGACTAAAATTTGAGAACCATGTCTTTCAGCCCGCAAACAAGGATTTGTTGATCAGATCAGCTTAATCTCTCTTAACTTTGCAGAAGAGGAGGGGGAAATGATTTTAAGAATATAGATCCTTGAGCCACATCTCAAATGTAGCCTAGATTCTAGAGCTGTAAATCTGAGATGCAAATTCTAACTCTAAAACTTATTACGTCTTTCCCTGGAGAAGTAATTCTAACTCTTTTGGTCTCAGTTTCCTTTTCTATAAAATGAAGATAAAAATAGTGCCTACCTCATAGTGCTGTTAAGGGAAATAAAATGTTTAGATCAGTGCCATACAAGACACTATATGTGACAGCAATTAGTATTATAAGTAACATTGTTATTAGGATACCCAGGGTGTACCTTGAGACTCTATATTAATGATTCTCCCATGGCCACACATTATAACCACTGGGGAGCTCTGAAGATCCTGATGCCCAGGCCATACCCCAGAACAATGAAATCAGGAATATATATGGGTAGGATCTAGGTATGTGGGTTTTTTTCCGGTGTCCCCAGGTGATTCCAGTGGGTAGCCAAGGCTGAGAATCACTCCTCTCTATTATTTAAATGTTCTTTACATGATTCTGATCAATGAATATTACCTGAGAGAGGTATACTGGTAAATGGAATAGCGGTTAATCTTTATTGAGGGAAGAAAGGTTAAGAGCTCAGCCTCTGACCAAGAAGCCTGCAGAGCACAGAGCACTTATAAAAGGGCTGGATGTTGAAGGAAAAAACTGCTAAAAGAAAAGCTGTGATTGGAATAAATTAAAAGGCACTGAGTTTTGAACCACTTAGATCTGGACTCCAAAACTGGATCTCTTATTCATTAATGCGATACTTAGACTCTCAATAAACCTTAATTTTCTCATTGCAAAATCTGGATATTTACTACCACATAGGGTTGATATAGGGATAAAATGGGTTAAAAGATGTAGAGCTCTTAGCATACAATGACTCCTACTTCATAGACATTCAATAAAAGTTTGTTATTGTTGCTTTTAGAAGTGAGGATTAGTGGAATGTGGGGTGTGAGAGTGAGGGAGCAAGGGTAATAACCAAGTACTTTGCTTGGATAACGGGACGGATGGTAGAGATATGAACCTGAGAGTTGGCCGACAGGAGTCAGTTTCAGGAAGAACTTTGGAGATCTTCTTGCTTTCATTGTGCTTGCCTAGCAGGCTCTGCAGTCCTTATCTGTAATATTCCTCCTAGTCTGAGCTATACTAATAAACCCAAACTGCTATATTGGTACCAAATTCGGTAGAACAGTTTCATAAGTATAAGGAGGTTCTGAATAAGAACCTTAAGGGGACTTATAAATAACTTACACACAGTTTATTGCAATAGTTTTAAGAACAGGTATTTTGCTGACTCAAAGTCTTCTTTTGCTTCCTTCCAGACCCTGGCCTTGCAGGTTTCTGGTACTTTTACAGAGCTAAAAGAAATCAGAATTCCATTTAAAACTCCAGTCTCATATCCAATTTATTACTCACCATGTTTTTGTTTGGAGCACCAGCCAGGCCTGGACTGGAGGGACCTGATTTCCTCCTCTTTTGGTTTTTGGACTCCTTTGGGCTTTTACCAACTGCTGTATACCCCATGACGGCATACTGCTAGATCCCCTTGGTTGGGTACCAGCAAGATGGTTCAGGTTCTACTGGGCACTTCTTTCCACTTCTCTCCCTCTGATCAGATAGTCACCGAGGGCAGGCAGATCACCAAGTCTGTTGCCTGTGTAACCAGGAAAGAGATTCTAGTCTCCCTTTGCAGGCACTCCCAATGGCTACAATTGATTCTATTGGAACTCTCCTTACTTAGTTAATGGAAGGGAAACAAAAGACTTAGAATTCTGTCCGAAGTTAATGACTTAACAATGCTCCATGAATTTTCTTTTATCTCACAATAACCTCTTAATAAGGAACGGAAGAGGCTATGGTGTAATGTAAGAGGGCTAGCCAAGCATTTAAGAAGTCTTAATGGAAGGATGTCTGGTTTCCTTGCTGGCCCTTTTTTGAACAATATTTCTCAAACTTGGATGGTCAGTCAGAGAAATCATCTGGAAGCCTAAAAAACAAAAAAGAAAAAGAGTGGATTCTACTCTTAGAGATTTTGATTTAATTGGTCTGGGGAAGCAGGCTAGTTTAAAAACTCCACAGGTGATTCTAATGAGCAGCCTTTGCTATGGAACACTGTTTCAGAATGGGGCTGGTACTTAACACTAATTACTTTCATTCCTGGAATTTTAATAGTAATTCCGAGACTCCTGGAAGAATCCCATTCAGCATCCTGTTCCACAGGGTATCAAAGAATAATAGAAAAAAATCAACAGTTTTTATTTATTTTTTTATTGAAGTATAATGACATACAATATTATATTAGTTTCAGATGTACAACAGTGATTCAACATTTGTATACATTACAAAATGATCACCACCGTAAATCTAGTAACCATCTGTCACTATACGAAGTTATTACCATATTATTGACTACATTCCCTATACTGTATATTACATCCCTGTGACTTATTTGCTTTATAACTGGAAGGTGGTGTCCTTAATCACCTTCACCTATTTTGCCCACTCTCCTCCCCGCTAACATAATGGGAAAAACACCCATAATTCCATCACCCTTATTGTATTAATTAATAAGCTTTTTAGTATGAAGTTTTACCTGGCAATTTTATATTCTTTTTTCAATTAAAATTGCATTGCAAACAGTTTCCTAAGTCATAAAGAATTATTTTGTAGATGTGTTAATAACTGAATAAAATCCCGTTGATGATTAAAAGAAGAAAAGAAGAAGAAAAATAGAAAATGCAAGAGTTCCAGGAATGCTGGGGCTGAAAGACTCCTGAAAGGTCATTTTGTTTATGTTCTCCTGAAATGGGGTCTGTGAACCAACAACTTCAGAATCACTTGAAGCATTCCTTTAAGAGGAAAATTCCTGGGCCTCATCCTCACATCTCCTGAATCAACGTCTCTCAAGTTGGGGTGCGGGCAGGGTCAGGAACCTGCATTTTGATACGTTCCCCCAGCTGATTCTTAGGCACATTGATGTTTTAGAACCATCAATTTCTCAACCCTGGCTGAACATTCAAATAACATAAGGCTGGAAAAATACTCATGCTGGCTCGACCAGTGATTCTCAACCTTGGCTGTGCCTCAGCATCACCTGGAGGGCTTTAAAAAGCCCCATGCCCAGGCCCCTCCCTGTGCCAATCACATCAGAATCTCTGCAGTGGGACCCAGGTGTCTGTAGTTTTTAAAGCTCCCCACGTGATTCCAGTCTACAGCCAAGGTTGAGAACCACTGTTGTGGATATTCTGGTTTCATTCATTTGGGATGAGTCTCAGGTGTTAATAATTTATTGTGGTAAACTTTTTGCTATATACCTTAAACTAATATAATGTTATATGTCAATTACATCTCAAGAAAACTGGTGGAGGGGAAGTAAATAAATAACTTTTAATTGTACCCCAGGTAATTTTAAAGTGCAGCCCAGGTTGAGAACTCTTGAATAGTCAGTCACCTTCAGCTTTTCTGAACTTCTTTCAGTGTAGTCACTAAATACCCTTTAGCCTACTCAGTCAGGCTTGCCTCCTGCCCCAACACCAGACCCAAGCAAGTCTTGACCAAGGCTGATAGTGATCTGGAAGTCTAGTCTCATGAGAAGTTATATGTCCACCTAGACATAACCCCTGCCTTTCTAGCCAGTCCCGTTAATTAATCTATCATTCATTCAACAAATATATATTAAACACCTAATATTTGTCAAGTGCTTTGTATTGAACTATGGATACAACGGCAAATAACATACTGTTTCTGACACCTCAAGAAGCTTCTAGATTTCCGAGGGTGAAGGAGGGAGATCTACATGCAAACAGAGGTATAGCAAAGAGTAGTAATTATTACAATGGATGCATGAACAAAGAACTGTGGGAACACAGATACATTAGCAACTAAATCTGCCTTACATGTCTAAGGAGACGCTATTTAAGCCAAGTCTTCCTTCCATGACCTAAGACACCCTCCATGATATGATTTCTCTCTACTGCAGCTCTTGCTACTTTTGCCTGGGTTTCAACTTCAGCCATACTGAACTCCTTTCAGTTCTTTGAATGCCCCCCACTCTCTTGACAAGACTTCAATGTGCATTTATTTGCATGGAACATTCTTCCTCTTTTCCCCTCCTGTACCTCCTACCTGGGACTCTGCTTAGTTGTTACTTCCACAAAGAGGTTCTTCCTGACCTCCTGAATGGTGTTAAATGTCTTTATTATACATCTGTGTGCTAGCCTATAGTGCTTCTTTAATAGCACGTGCCCACTTTGTTGCACAGCACAGTGCCTGGCACTACTGGATGAATGAATTAATTGCATCCCAGGAACAGGGGATGATACGTGCAAAGCCATAGAAGCATGCAATTTTGTGCCATGTCCTAGAATAGCAAACATTTTGGATGGCCAAAGATAAGATGGGCAGGAGGAGGTTTCTAAAGATGAATCACGAAAGGTCGGTTGTTAAAAGCTTTGTAAGTAACCCTATGGGGTCTGAACTTCACCCTGCAGGCAGTAGGAAGCCAGATAAGGTTTTACGTGGGGAAGTATAATAATGAGGTTTATCATTCGGGACCTTCTCTCTGGGAGCAGTGTGGAGGATGGACTGAAAAAGAAAAGATTGGTTCAAAGACAGTTAGGAGATGTTCCAGTACTACAGGTGAAAAATAATAAAGTCTTCCCTGAAATAATGAAGCAAAGGGCTCCATTCAAAAGGCATTTCTGAGATAAAATCTGAGCACTTGCTGACTAATTGCATGTGGGGGTGAATGTGAAAGATGATACTATGCTCTAGCTTGGAAGACAGGCTGGGTGGGGATGCTATTAATGGAAATAAGGAATACAGAACCACAAGAGCTAGTTTCAGGGAAAAAAAAATAATGAGCTCATTTTTAAACACGTGGAGATTTCCATGTACCAGTGGATACACAGATAGAGTCTTTCATGCAGTTATAAATGCATAAAATTCTTAGTTTGGTACCTTACTGACTGCTGATGTGGCTGGTATTGTTCACTTGACTATGTTGACTTCTGGTTTCCGTACAAAAGGACAGTCTTTTGAAACTGACAGTGTCATATTGATTTCACGACTTATGCTTCTTTGGGCCACAATTCGCTATCAGTTGGCAATAGTTCAAGGGAGAGTCTCCATTAAAATCACTTACTGGTTGTGTTCTTTGGTTAGATACATACACCTATGCCAACTCCACTCGAATTCTGAGATGGAAACAATTTTATTACAGGTAGCTATGCTGTTAGATTCCTTTCTCATTTTATTGTGAGTTCCGAAAGGAAGCATCTTATTCTTCTTATTACGCTTAGTGCTGGGTCTAACAGAACACAGATTAGTGAGTGAATGGATGGATGGATGAATGAATTTATAATCTGATGGCAGGGATAGAGGATACTTTCTGGAGCTAATCACTTAGGAATTAAAAATCTCTATCCTATACATAAATGCCTAAGTAACTTATCATTGAGTTATTGATTACAGTGACAGAGGTAGAAGAGATCACTATGAGTATTTTTAAAATGACCTTTCATCATATTACTTTCTCTTGAAAATGCAAAACCATCCTGGGAATTTTAAAGCTGTGGTAATAACAGACTATGTTTCTTGATACATTAACCTTTGATATTGTCAAGTGAAAGAGAAGCATTTAAATTAATTGCTATCGAAAACTCTTTTGTTTGGTACTGTCCTCGAAGCTGGCAGATGGGTACATGATCAGATTTTATTTTAGGAAGATAACTTTGCTTAGGATTATATGAAGAGGCAAGGGGACATTTTGACAGAGGAGAGATGATGATGAGGGCCTGGAATAATGCAATGGCAGTGAAATGGAGAGATCTTATTAAGTAATTAATTAATTCATCAAATATTTATTCACTGTATTATTCTGGACTCTGGGGATGGAGTACTGACCACACTAGAGAAGTTCCTACCCTCAAGGAGTTTACAGACAAATGGAGGAGATGTATATTAATCAAATCATCATATCAATAAATGTAAAGTTGCAGATGTGATACATGTGGTCTGGGAAAGTCAAGTTGAAAAAGGCATCTCAGAGGTGAAATTGACAGGACTCATTTGGTTATTGGGGTATCAGAATAAATAAAAGACATGTTCCCTGGTCTCCTTTCCTGAAAGAATACTCAACCTGATTTGTGTGACAGAAATAACATACATGAAATGCCTTCAAAGATGTATTAAGTGACATATCGTGTGGAACAGATTAAAATGCCCTTTTGCCAAAAGATGAGATCAATAAGCTATGAATTGTAAATTCTGATTTTGCAATTAATTGCACCTCCTTTTAATTGTCACCATTCTACTGGAATGATGTTACTGTGCTGATGAGATACAGTTGACTCTAGATCTCTCCGTTTTGATTTTTTTCATTCAGATGTTGCCAGAGCAATTGAATTACTGGAAAAACTTCAGGAATCTGGAGAAGTACCAGTGCACAAGCTACAATCCCTCAAAAAAGTTCTTCAGAGTGAGTTTTGTACTGCTATTCGAGAGGTATGACACCAAGATTTTAATAACTATATTCGGCCGTATGTCTTCTGAGTAGAAAACACGTCTTTTCCACACAAACAGTTGAAATGATTAAGTTTGGAGCTACATCTTAGCTTTCTGTTTTTAGCTCCTTGGACAGATGATAAAATATAATTTAGCTTGCTAAATTCTTAAATTAGATCCAGTCAGGATTGACACTTTCATATAAAACCAAATGTTGATCTTATGGTACCAAGGAAGTGACCGCCTCAGCAGGTGACTGTTACATGTAGTCTAAACTATTTAGTGGTTACATGAAGTCATCTGGAAATTCAGTTAGACATAGTCATAATTAGTGAGGGCTGAGCATTTCTCGAAAGAACACTCAGCTAAATCTTTCACAGCTAAATCTGAAAGAGTAACCTCCTACTGACCAAAGTTGTAGTTCTCCAAACACTACTATCTAGTGCAATAATGGGAACCCTCCGAACAGGCTGATATACCCTTCTAACAAATCTTTGTAATGCTTTCCTGGCTAATGGTTTCAAGAACCTTAGGGTGAAACACGTGTATAAATGACTACTTGAATTTTCTTTTGAATTGTAGGGGAATTGACTAGTCAACTAATGAATTTAATTGGTTATAAGAGAGTTCACTTGAGATACATACACTATATTATTTTTGAATAAAACAATATTCAGTAAGCCCATCACCTCTTCCCTACAAGATATGAAGTAATAATTCAGTAATTAGAATCTAAAGTCCATAAATTCAGCATATCTGCCTTGCTAGAAGTCCCCAGTAATGAATTACCCACTGTCATCTCTTCCAAAGCCGGTTGAATCCAATCATTACCTGTAGCCTCTATTCTCTCTGTATCCGTCTCTTCTCAGATGGGATAATTCTGGAGCATGTGATTTGTACCCTTTGCTAGGGTTCTTGTAGGATTAAGCTCTAGTCATTCTCTGTGAGGCTGGCTCAAAGGACATACATCTCTCAAGAAATGCTTGCATCAACCTCTTTTCCTCTTTCAACTCCACTTGTGGCTAATGAACGTTCTTTTGCCTCAATAATGCTAGTTTATGAGTAGTCACTAAGTAGTCTAGTTAGTCACTAGGTAGTCGCCAGATGACTAAAGTAGAGATGTAAAAAACTTCTCTCTCTACAGATTTAAACTATAGCCTACCCAATGCAGTTACAATTTGGATTTTGCTGGGATTTGATTTAGACGGTGTTTGTGCTAAATCTTTATCAGGTGTAGCAATTTATGATTTAATTTTTGTTTGCAATGAACACAGCTTAAGTAAATAAGCATAATTGTATCTCCAAGTTTTAACCTATGAATTTGATCAAAGGCTGAAAGGAAATTTCTCAAAGTGTATGAATTCTTGGCCACTGGCTGCTCGGTGGAAAAGGTGTAAGATATATGAAAACCCCATGGATCTCCCAGCAGTTAAACTCCAGTGGTCACTCTGTAGACCATTGCTAAATCGCCTATACACTCTTTTCTTCCTTCACAGAGTGCTGCTTCCCTGAGATTTTGTGACTGACTTTTCATTTTTAGATATTTTATCATCTCTTCTACCCTCCACAGAACTAACGAACGAATGGAACACAACAAATATATATCTCTGCTCACTGGGAATTTGGCCTGTGATCAATGCAAAGTCTCAACTTTCACGGAACTCACATTTCAGTGAGAAAATTTATGATAAATATTCAAAAAAATATCAGAGAGCGAAAAAACTATGGAGATAAATAAAGCAGGATTAAGTAGGAGTAAATCTCTATTAACTTAGGGTGCTAGGAAAATAACCTGATTAAAGTAATGGAATAAAACATAAATATAAGGGGGGTATAGTGTTCTTATAGGCAGAGGAAACCACAGGTACAAAAACCCAGAAGCAAGAATGATCTTAGTCCATGGAAGGAACATCCCAAAAGCCAGCATGTCTGCAGTGAAATAAGCAAGGTAGGCTTCCTAGAGGCAGCTGGAGAGCAGATCATGTGAGGCCTTGCAGGCCATGGCCAGAACATTGGATTTCATTCTAAGAGTGATAGGAAGCCCTTGGAGAGATTGATCTGACGTGATTAGATTTTGGAAAAGGTCTCCCTGACTGCTGTGAGAATACAAGTGTGTGTACAATAGTAGAAACAAGAGAGTCCAGTAAAAAAGTAATGGGTAGTCAAGTGAGAGATGAGGTGACGGCAGCCAGGATGAAGGTGGCAAAAGTGCAAGTTATGGGAAGTTGTCAGATTCAGTATGTATTGTTTGTGAGTAAAGTCTACAGGAATTGTTGATATATTGAACGTAAGGGTGAGAGAGAGAAGTCTCAATTGATTTTTAGATTTGGGCTGAATGGTGATATAACGAGATAGGAATCTTTGAGGATGGACCAGGTTTGGAGAAGGCTATCCAGAGCTCCGTTGTGGACATAGCAAATGGATGATGCTTTTCAGACATCCAAGTAGGGATGTCTAGCAGGTACCTAAGTCTGAAGCTTGGGGTCTAGAGATGTAAGTGTAGTATAAATATCTGTTCAAATAAACGCACAAGTCTTTTTCTTTAAAGAGTTTGCTAAGGAAAAAGAGAATGGGAGTGAAAAAGAAGATAAATATGGAGACATTGTATAGGAATTATAAATATATTTTATAAACCCTGTCTGTGGTAGAGTGTGATATGTGTATCATTAGTGGTTCATGGAAATCTATAACTGAACTATAGGCAATTGAACAATTTCAAAGGGAAAAAGATTATATAATTTATCTACCTTAATTTTACAAATTTGGATGGATAAGATTAATTTTATGTTCGTAGTAATGTCCTTCTAATAATTTTGTTCTTAAAGGCAATGCGTGTTATACAGAAATTATTTTGGTCACTTCATCTTGGCTAACATTTCACACCAGTTGTATGGAATTGCTTGTATTTGTTAAATCTGGAATTTTCTTCATTATTCTTATTGCTTCACTTTACATTAACTGAGAAAAGTAATGATAAAAATAGCAATACGTATACAACAATTCTGAATCATACAATAATATTATGAATCCATCTAGTGAAAAGTTCTTCAATGAAAATGTAAAATGTGAATACATGTTGCCAGACAGGTGAATCCACGAGCCAGTAAAGTTCAACTAGGAAGTACGAGGATGTAAGACAACGAGTACCTTAAATTAAATTTTATTGAGCCAAGAACCCTTTCCCTCCTGGTCTCTTGGATATTGACCGTTATGCTAGCACAAAGCTTTTGAAATTTTGGTTTCTTAATTAGATAATGCTCAGAATCTCCATGCTTCAATATTTTTCAGAAAGATTTGATCGTTAATACTTACCAGTGTGAAAATTATGAATTTTGTCATGACAGGTAATGGAAAGAACAAGAACTACAGTCGCATCATTCTTAGTTGTGTTTGCCAGACCAAAACCAGCTACAGGTCACACCATTGCCAACAAGACTGTAAAACCCAAATTATGCTCATAAAGAAAGCTGGACAAGCTACTGCCACTTTTTTCCCCATACACAAGTGTAACAGTGGTTATCGTTACATGTTGAGGCAATCCCAGATTTTGCTTTACGTTTGGAGAAAGCCACTGAATGGGCTCTTGGCATATGTGCTGCACTTATTTAGGGAGAATAGTTTCATGAAATTTTATTTTGTTTTTCACTTAAAATGGATGATTAAAAGAAATTAAAAGTTTTCTCTACTTAACTTTTTGTCTGTAATAAAGACTGAAAAAGTTTTGTTGAGATCAGTACTGAAGGAAGATCATCTATGTATACAATTGAGAAAGGCATTACTCTATCAACAAAATAAGTTGCATTTGAATGCCCACCCACGCACAGCTTTATTCACAGAATACAGATAGTGGTTGGCAATACTTTTCTTGATTGTTTTATTGCTGAAGGATCTCAAAAGGGCCTGATCAGTCATTAAATTGCACCTACTGTGTGCAGGGCATTTAGGAGTACATGGCAGAGAAACGAGCTGACACAGGATGCCTCTTTTCCACAATGAGGGGTACTGGCTGACAAGAGGAAGTTCACCCAAGCTGTTTAATGAGAGATGAAATAAAAATTTTTATGGTACTGATATTCCCAGTAAAGACTATCTCTATGATTTTAAGTGGCTTCCTCAAGTTTTAGTTCAGCACTCTATTAATTAGCTTGAATGGCCTAAATTTAGAAATTTAGGATTGAAATATAAGGATTATAAAATGTTGATTTTGGATAAGAGAATTTCCTAAGAAAACTGAATTGCAGTTCAAATAGCTCACTTACCCAGAGATAGACTTTTTCCCCAACACATCATTTTCTTCGTGCCTCCGAGAAAAAAATCAATAGTATATGACTGGTCATATTTTAAGAGGACATCCAATTTCTGCAACAGAATACAGAGAAATTCTTTCTGCAACTAAAATAATCAAAAACAGAATTAGCAACCTATTTGCTATCATCATCTTCCAAGTTTAAAACATTCAAGCTTCCTGCTTTCTCGGGTGATGTACTTGTTGCCTTGCTGTGTGACATGCTGCTGAGAGCGGACTATTGTGGACTTATTCCCACATTGATGACTGTCTTATGCACGTTTGAATAAAAAATGCAGAACAAAATGACAGTCACCAAAAACTGCCTTCCTTGGCCAATCACCAGATGTTATATGGTAGTATTTTCTAATGTTGTAGAATAAGAAAATAAACCAACTCCATATGGAATCTATCATTCTGCGATAGTCAGTAGGATTGTTGGAAAATATTCCAGTTCTCCTCTCCTTCTTAGCACATGTTACACCTAGATTTCCCCAGCCTCCTTCAAGTTAGATGTGGCTATGACAACTTCTGTGGCTAGGGACATGTGAATGGAAGTGATGCAGGCCACTTCCTCGTGGATGCCTTTGAGTCAGTGCATGATTTGCTATGTTCCCTTCCCTTTGCCATGTGACTAGTGATGTTTTATATGATAAATGATAAATCGGCCTTGGTTGCAGAGTGAGAAAATGAGAAATATAGGCTTTAGCCAACC